TAAGCCACCTTCCCAGCTCCGGCTTTGACCAAATTCTTGTTTGGGGATTCTTGACTCCTGGTTGGAAGACCTGGACCGCTCACTAGGAGGTGATGTGCCTTCTTCCTCTGGTTCCCTTGGGAGGATAAAGGAAACTATTCTGCCAATGAAAAGATCCCTTTGTATCAATATAGGGGAGAGAGAGAGAGAGAGAGAGAGAGAGAGAGAGAGAGAGAGAGAGAGAGAGAGAGAGAGAGAGAGAGCATGAGCATGAGAGCGACCACAGAGGAGAGAGATCTCTGTGGCTGGGTAAGCATGGACAGATCTACATGCAAAGATGGTGACACAAACTACTAGAGTCTAGAGAGAATATGATAGATAGGGCTTGAACTCAGGGTCTGGGCACTGTCGCTGAGCTTCTTTTTGCACAGGGCTAGCACCCTACCACTTAAGCCACAGTTCCACTTCTGGCCTTTTCTGTTTATATGACACTGAGGAATCGAATTCAGGGCTTCATGCATGCTAGGCAAGCACGCTACCACTAAACTACATTCCCAGCCCTAGAAATTTATTCAGTAAAGCAGAAAGAACAATGAAAACAGCTCTTTGAGTGACAGATGGCTGGGCCTCAGGATTATTTTCTGTGTATTTCCAGTGTTTCCTGAGTTAATTTCTAGTTCCAAGGGCCAGAAGGCCCTAAGCTATGAAGTAAAACAAAAATCAGAAAGTAGGGAGATGGGAGAGAATTATAAAAGGGGTGACGTTGACCAAGATGCAGTATATAGGCACAAACTGACATGTTAAAGACCCCCTAAGACATGCCTCCTTTCTCAAAGGACTTTTTTTTTTTTTTTAGCGTTTTACTCTGATGTTTCTTTTAAGCAACCTCTTAACATAACTGTGACAACTGTCCCATCTTTCTTGTTATATGTCACTTGGTGGGGTTTATACAGAGTTAATCAAAAACTTTTCAAGTTTTTATCCCATTTGATTTCCACAACTCTGAGAAATGGGTTTACTATTCTTAATTGATTGCTGCAGAGCAAACGCTGTGTAAGACTATTAAGCTTTATGTGGAAGAGCTGAGACTGGAACCTAGGTCTTTCACCCTCTTAGAATACATTGTCAGGACATTCTAATGCAACCAAAGAAAGGCAATGTAAGACTAGGTGTGGTGGTACATACCTGTAATCCCTGCTATTCTGGGGGAGGTGGGAGGATTGTGGTCCAAGTTGCCCTGGGTAAAAACAAGATACTAGCTGAAAATCACTAATGTAAAAAGAGTTAGAAATGTACCTCATGTGGTAGGGTGCCTGTGAGGCCCTGGGCCCAAACACCATGTATATGTACATATGTACGTATATGTGTGTGTATATTACATGCAGACTTTAAGAAAGGAAAAAGGCAATATAAGATCTTAGGAGAGGCATTACATATTTCTGCAGCTTGTGAGTACCACAGACTGTTTCAGAACAGACCTGCTGATAAAAAACTTCCTGTAGTTTGCGGGGTGCCGATGGCTCACATCTGTAATCCTAGCTACTCAGGAGGCTGAGAACTGAAGATCATAGTTCAAAGCCAGCTGGGGTAGGAAAGTCCATGAGACTCTTATCTCCAATTAACCATGAAAAACCGGAAGTGGTGCTGTGGCTTAAGTGGTAGAGTGCTCACCTTGAGCTGAAGAGCTCAGGGACAGTGCCCAGACCCAGAGTTCAAGCCTCACAACCAACAAAAAACAAAACAAACAAACAAACAAAAACTTCCTGTGGTGACAGAGATGCTCTTTCCTGGAGCCATCCACTGACAACTACAAGCCATGATGCACGTGTGAAATCTGATGGTATTGTCTGTTGAAGGAATGCCTTGTTCTTTTAATTTTAACCAACTTCATATTTAAAAAGCCGTAAGTTGGACAAAATTGCCTTGTTGGACAATGGGAACCCAGAGCACAAAAGCCCATTCAGTACATTTTGAGATGTCACTGAGGCCCATAACTACTCAGGGTGAAGTTCTGGTAAATTCTCAGCTGCCTCAGACACGCACATTAAACAGGCTTCTGCTTGGGAAAGTTTGTGATTGCTGGTGACTGCACATGGCTGTTTGCTGGTCTGGGTTGGAGTCTGGTGAGACTTTGGCTCCTCCTACAGGCCATGGCAAGCATTGCTATTCACTTCACTCCCCCACCTCCCTTATTCCTTCTAGAAAGAAGCTCTAAGGGGCTTATCCTTTACCAGGTCATGTGCCTGCTCAAAGTCACACAGGAACTAAGTGAAGAGGGGCCTTAGATATTGTTTCTTCAACATCCTCACTCATGGATTACAGGTGAGAGAAATGCCAAGAGAGGTGACCACTATGTCTTTGGCCTCTTAGCTCAGGGCACCAACCACAGAGTCCACAGATGGGGCAGGAACACGTGAGCAAGCAAGAACAGGAACCATCTGCTCAAGGTCAGGCCCTCCTTTTGCCTCTTATGTCCACATAGTAATTCCTTGTTGACATAGAGAATGAAGCTTCCAGTCATTTAAGGACAACTCATATATGCATTTGAGCAACTGAATGATGATAACTATCTCCATCATTTCCTTCGTTTCTGTAACATATTTTTATTTGAAAAAATTCTCCCATATGTGATTAATAGGCTTAGCTTTCATAAACAAAAAAAATACTTGGAGCATATTTGTTGAATGAACGCACATTTATCCAATTTAGAGTGAGGAACTATTAACAAATCTTTTTTTTTTTTTCCAAACACAAAGTTCTGCTTCATCATTTCACTAATTTCCCTCTTTCGCCATACCTCTGAACTCAGCATGGTGTGGACGATGCTTGGGCCAAGCCAGATGGGCTAGTCAGTAGTAGGCCAGAATCTTCTAGGAATTTATAAGCTATGTGCAGCAGATTTTGTTCAAGGTCTAAGTTCGAGATGTTAGCTATGTCTATACTTTTGTATCAGACTTGAAGTGGGAGATGCTCTCCTGATTTGAAAGAGTCTACATAACAAATGGTTGAGCCCCTCTGAAATATACAGGGGCATTAGTTGCAGCAAAAACACTCAAAGTAATTCATCTTAAAGTGCCAGCAGCCAGGAAACAGAGTAGGTAAGCAGTCCTCCTTCTGGCTATTGTATTTCATTTTGTAATGATACTACATGCATCAACAGTCTCATTCATAATTAGAGCTATAATCTTCCAGTGGATGCTTATGGTAGACCTTGGGGATATTAACCTGTTGTTGACAGAGTTCCATTGAAATGGCTTGAGTTTTAATATGTAAGATACAGCCAAAGTGTCACTCACCTCAAAATATAAATAACACAAAATTAATTAATGGGACTGTTGCCTGGCATGTGGCCAAGGAGATGAAATTGACTAGGTTCTTAAAATGTTTTACACGGCCACCATTTGTGGTGTTCTTTTGTTTTTTTTTTTTTCACTTCAAAAGTTATTCAAGTATAACTGCCACAGAAGAAAATAGTATTTGGAGTTAAAAGCTTGGGTTGAAATACCAAGTCTGATGAACAATAATTATGGTAGATGGCATTTCTTTTCAAAAATAGTCCTTCCCTGATGGGCACCGGTGGCTCACACCTGTAATCCTACTCATTGGGCTGAGATCTGGTAATCGTGATTCAAAGCCAGTGTAGGCAGAAAAGTCCATGAGACTATCTCCATTAAACCACCAAAAAGCTGGAAGTGGAGCTGTGACTAACGTGGTAGAATGCCAGCCTAAAAAAGCTGAGGGACAGCGCCCAGGCCCTGAGCTCAAGCCCAGTACCAGCACACATACAAATAAAATTCCTTCATTTCCTTCAATCCATCACCTCTATAAGATCATTTTATTTCCTTGCTTCTAGACTTAGGGCTTGGCTATATGACTTGTTTTGGTCAATGGAATGTTGGCAGCCATGATGCAAGCAGATTTGAAGTTTGCATGTGTGGTGTGAATGGGCACTGTACTTTTGACCCAATAGTCCACAGGCCAAGAAGAGGAACATGGGACCAGTTCCAGCCTGACCTGTACCTTTAAATCACCCTGCAATACACTTAATCAACAATAAGTGGGACTGGGAATGTGGCTTAGCAGTAGAGTGCTTGCCTAGCATACATGAAGCTCTGGATTTGATTCCTCAGTACCACATAAACAGAAAAAGCTGGAAATGGCCCTGTGGCTCAGTGGAAGAGTGCTAGACTCGAGCACAGAGAGGCTCAAGGACAGTGTCCAGGCCTGAGTTCAAACTCCAGGACTGGCCAAAAAAAAGAAAGAAAGAAAAAAGAAAATGACTTAAGTCTGCAGTGGTTGATAATGTAAGAATTCTTGATTGACACATTGGAAAAGACTTGTGTATTATTTCTGGGGCACCAATGTCTCAACCAGTAAGGAGATATCTCATCACATCAAGAATATGCCATATCCTTGCCCATGTAATTGTAACCCCTCTGTACAGTATTTTCACACACAAAAAAAAAGAATATGCCATATAATGTTCTAAGCACTTCTGGCACACAAATTTTTTTTTTTTTGGGTCCGGTCGTGGGGCCTGAACTCTGGGCCTGGGCGCTGTCCCTCAGCTCTTCAGCTCAAGGCTAGTACTCTACCACTTGAGCCACAGCGCCACTTCCGGCTTTTTTTCTTTTTGTTTATGTGGTGCTGAGGAATCGAACCCAGGGCCTCATGCATGAAAGGCAAGCACTCTACCACTGAGCCACCTTCCCAGCCCCACTGGCACACAAATTTTAACTTAGAAGTTCTTAGCCTCAAGTTGCATGCAACTGATCTGCTGCCAAGATAACCTACTTACAACAAAGTATGGTAGTACCTGCCCATAATTCCAGCATTTAATGCATAAAGGTGAGAGTTGAGGCCAGACTTGGCTATACCATGGGTTCCAGGCTACTTTGGGCTACACCATTAGACCCTGTCTCAAAGAAACCCCAAACAAACCCCCAAACAAAAAAAAATCTAAACAAATAAAGAGACCACTCCCTGCAAAAAGAAAAAAAAAAACGCAAACCACCAAAAAGTCCACTTGTATGTTTTAATTTAAACCTCCAACAAGTCAGTAAAACACATTTATCAAAATCAGGAAAATGAACACCCACATTCTAGCACACTATTTTCTAATAGTAGGAGCCATACCCCAAAACAACCTGCCAGATTAGTGAATTTTCACAAATCAAAGTTGTTTATAAAGGGAGCTTTCAATTTTCCATGTAAATGATTTTGATTTTTTCCTAATTTCAGCACTGCAGCCAAGGAAGATTGAGAGCCTAGCTTCATATATTTCTCTTTCTGCAGGTAGCATTTCTTGGCAGCTATGCACATCTGCTTTGGTTGCATGCTATGGAGCATATTGGATATGTCCTCACGGGTACATTTATTTAGAGCTCTCTCCCACTGTCAAAGTTATTCTCTGTTGTAGATGCTTAGTCTTTTAGTGATAACAACATAAGGCCATGAGATTTGGCATGCACTGCCACCAGCTGCAAAGATCTGCCATTAACCTCTACCGAAAGACTATTTCATCATTCTTATCAGTGTACAAAGAGCGAGGCATGGTGATGATCCATGTCTGAAATCCCAGGCTGAGGCAGGAGGATGACATATTTGAGACCAGACTCAGCTACATAGACCCGGGCTTCAAAAAAAATCAAATAAATAGAGATTCAGAAGTATTTCTCCTGATCTGGAAAAATCATTCAAGCATTTAATTTACTAAGTTTTCATGTTTCACTCCTCTGATCCATCTCTCTCCTTTGGCAGTTTTCCTTTTTATCTTGTCCTGACTTTCAAGGAACATGGAGTATTACAGACTCCATTTCTCTGATCATTTCACCTTAGATCTTTCTACTTTCATCACTAACTTGCCACTATGGAGAAATTGGGCCTACATTTTCTCTTTAACAGGACACTTGAACTATATGCATTAAGTGTTAGGAGACTGGCTTGGCAATGGAAATGGAGCAGCAGCCCCGATTAACATAGGATTTTCTTAGGGTTAGAATGACAGAGCTGATGTCAACTGTCAGACAAAGGGCTAATTTTAATAATCTTAATAGTTAAATAAAAAAATATAACTTCCTTTTAACTTTGGAGCTCTAATGACTGAGGTAGATAATGCTGTTATAATTAATGAATTAGGATGAAAATACAAAAGTGATAAAACTGAGAGGAAGCATTGATTTTTTTTTTTGAAATCCAAATGGATCAAGTATATTTCCAACTTACACTTCAAAGTTCTAAGCATGAAATCCAAGTCTAACATGTCATGAGCAGATCACTTTTCTAGTTGAAGATGAAACTGGCAGTTGTTAAAAGATCTACATTCCTGACAAGCCATAAAGCAGATGTCCCTGTAAAGAAGCCAGTAACTTTGTACTTGATATTTCCATCCTGGCTCATCACCAACTCTTTAGGACTTGGATTCTGAAGGTTTCTTCAGCATTTAACTAATTCTTTGTTGGCTGAAGGAGCTGGGATTGTTTCTCCACACATAAACTGATCCTAAGACCGAATGAGAAAAGACATTAACCACTCAGTTTCTTTGCCACAAAAGCATTAACATTATTTTCATTTTGTTGCAGAATCGTTCCATCTGTTATTTTTCAACTCCTATGTCACTTCATTCTTGTTGAAACAGTTAATATTAGCTCCAGAGTTGGAAGTGAATTTTAGTACTAAATTCATTACTTAAGTGTCTTAAAACATAGCCATCTTCTCTAGAGCAATCAGTAATAACCCAAGTTCCCCCCCTCTCCTCTCCCCTCCGGCTTTTCAATGTATCACTTACTTTGTCATAAATTACTTTTATAATAAGAGAACAGCTGGGACAGGTTGCCACTTCTTCCCCATTCTCCAAATCTTCCTATAATGAAATCAAACCACGTGGTCAGTATCACCTTCCCTTCACCTCTCCCATCCCTCGGTGGTGGCCTGCCTCTTCCAAGGATAGGTGGGAGCCCAAAGGATCTTGCCCGTTTGTTTTCCTCTCTAAGTGTTAGTGGGGGAAACACTAGGAACATTGGGCGACGCCCCTTCTCCTAAGAGATATCCCAGGAAGCAGCTTGGAGGCAGGACAAACATACAGAAGGTCAGAAAGAAGACCCCACTGCTTTCCTTTGCGGGGGGAGTGGCTCAGCATCAGGAAAACTGACAGGAGCGCCCCAGAGCCGCGAGGACGGCGGCAGGGCCAGGGATAACAACAGCGCGGCGAAACCCCGCGTGTTCCGGGGAGCTGCCGGGTGGGACCCCAAAGTTACTTTGGTGATGGAGAAGTTATCGCCACACGGGCAGGGGTAGAAATAGGTTTCCGAGTCCTCGTCATACTGGAAGTCTTCGATCTCCACCTCGTCGTGAAACACCGCCATGGTCACCAGGGTTGACCGGGAGTTGACGCTCCGTCCGTCGGTCTGCGCAGCACCGTCCCGGTAGGTCTACTGCGGTGGGCGCCGGCCCGGACCCGGCATCTTCGCCACGCCCACACCCTGGAACTACCGCTTCCGGCGCACAGGCGATGACGCGACGCCAGCCTCGCGGCCAAATGGGTGACCGGGGTACGGTCACGGTAGAGATGACGGAAGAGGGGCCGGAGACCTTGGAAAGATGGCACCGCTCCTTCCATTGGACGGCAGTGACCAATAGCACGGGAGGTTTGCGGCAGCTGCCTACGTCATCACATCGGGACCGCCGAAGCTTCCTTGCGCGGTGACGGAATTTGGCCGGCGTCCCTAACCGTGGTGTCTCCGGCGGCCTGATGGCTGCGCCAGGCAGCTGACCTTAGGGAGCCCAGAACCCGCGTTCGCCGGCCTCAGAGCGGGAGGGCGCCGCTTTTGCCCGTGGCGGGCGGCGACCGGAACGACCGTGCTGCTGCCTCTGCAGCCTTCCCTGTGCCGGAGGAGCTTCGCCTCGAGCTCAGGACGCGGTTCCTGGCTGCAGGTACCTCCGCGCCAAGGTTACCCCAGACACATTCAGGTTCCCTAAACCGTGCTGCTGAGAGGACCAAGACTAGAACGAGGGCGCGAGGCCTAGTCCTTCAAGTGGTCGGGCAGATGGCGTTGTTCGCCACCGTGATAGGCAGTAACTTTTTATCGTTGGACATTTGTTACGTTACCCGTAAGCCTCAAGTACAAGTCTGTGGCAGACCCTGGGGATTTAAGTTTCCGTTTTACTAGTATTTGACACTGAGTTGCAGAGAGTGACATCTTGACCAACATCACGTGTCTGGGAAAAATGAAGTGCCTGACGGTCTCCAAAAGTCCACCAAAACCAGCTTACCTATCCGAACCTAAGTTTCTCATGGGAGGAAGGGAGTCATAGGCAATGTTAGCTGCGTGAGGCCTCTTACTGCAGTTACAAAGTGGTTTGGCTAGAAAGTAGGGTTAGGTACCAAGGGTGTCGCTGTTTCTAGGCAGTCACTCATTCTCAGTAGAGAAGCAATGCCACGTAAATGATAAAACCCTGGGAAACAGTCTTGGTTCAGATCTGACTTGATTACAGTTGATCTCTGGGAATCAGACTCCCTCCTTTGGACTTTTCCCCTTCTTAACCATCTTTAGGGCCTCTACCGCTTAAATCATACTCCAGCCCTTTGGGCTTCAGCAAAAAAATTTTTTTTTGCTGGAGGGGTGGCGGTGATACTGGGGTTTGAACTCAAGGCTTCACACTTGCTAGGCAGGTGCTCTACCACTAGAGCCATGTCCCAAGACTTTTTGCCCTAGTTATTTTTGAGATAGGATCTCATCTTTTGCCCAGGGGGGCTTACAATGGGGTATGTTTCTTGTTTTATCTGGGATGACAGGATAGGCCACCATGCCCAGGAACTTTTTCATTTGGCTGACCTCGAATTGCAGTCCTCCCAAGTACTTAGGATTACGGGGGTGTGAGCCATTAGTGCTTTGCTGCTTTAGTAAGTTTTCGTATCTCGTCTTGTGTTTTTGCCTGGAGCCAGCCTCAGACTACAACTATGGCCTCCTAGATAGCTGGGGATCACAGGTGTGAAGCATCACTTTGCATACTGATAAAGATGGGGGTGTTGGTAACTTTTTGCCCCAGCTGTCCTCAAATTTTGATTCTCTTGTCGCGTCCCCATATCCCAACAGGTATCTGGGATTTCATAAGTGAGCTACCGTGTCTAGTCAATCTTTGTTTTGTTTTTTGTTTTGTAAGTCATGGGGCTTGAACTTGGGGCCTGGGCACTGTCCCTGAGCTCTTTTGCTCAAGGCTAGCACTTTACCACTTTGAGCCACAGTACCACTTCCAGTTCTCTGGTGGTTAATTTGAGATAAGAGTCTCATGGCCTTTTCTGTCTGGGGATGGGGTCTATTAGACTCTCATGTTTCCATCTTGTCTTCTTGCCCATCCCCCTTGTCTAGGTACATGCAGTTCCTCTAATAGTTCTCCTAAGTTTGACTTGTGTGGTGGTGAAGAAAATAGAACCATAGCGAAGCATGTGATGTAGGTTATTTGGCAAGGAGGAGAAGGTACATGTACTAGGAAATTACACTCTTGCTTGCTGGGTACTTCTACAGACATTGTTTTATTTAATCCTCTCAGCAATCCAGTGAGGTAAATGGGTATTGTGGAAATGGTAAAAGATGATTTATCTGAGATGTAACAGCAAAAATCAAGAAAGAGTCACACCTTACTTAGTTCAGTACTGCTGTTTCTGGACCAGACACTCTGCATACCAGTAAAGCTGTATCTCTCTTAGAAAGTAACATCTAGGAATTGAAACTGAAAGGTACCATGATTTCTCTGTACATGTACAATCTTTCAGGGCATTCTTGTATTCAAGTGCCTCTAGTGAGGCATTTTGGGTTTTTGTTTTTCTGACACCCCTTCTATCAGCAAGTTGTAGAGTTCTAATTCTGAAATATAGTCAATTGTCATCTACTTCTGCCATCCCTGGAGATGTTGTCCTAGCACAGTCTTAACACTGGCTCTCCTCACTAGATATTCTGCTTTCACTCTTGCCCCAGCTTAACCCATTCTTCATACATCAACTTGAGCAATGTTTAACAAATAACGGAGATCACATCCTTTGCCCATTGACTTCCCAGTGCCTTTAGGGTAAAGTCCTTAGCCTTCCCAAGGCTGTGAACTGTGTGATCCTGGACATGTCCTGATTGTTCAGCTTTATTTCATGTCTTGTCACCCACTCACACTTGCTTTGGCTCAGATAATGCTCCAGGCTTGTTTGTGTTTTTTTCTCCTCGAATATCTCTGCCTTTCCCCCCCTTTTTTTCTTTATTTTGCCTTCTACTAGCTAAGCAGGTGCTCTATCACCTAAGCCTAGCTTTTATTGGTTGAGATTATTCCTCTGCCACACCTTGAACCCAGATCCTCCTGTTCCCAAGTAGCTAGGAATCCCAGAATGAGCTATCCACACCTAGCTTCTACCACTGTACCTTTAATAGCTACTTCATGTCCTGGTCCCAGCCTAAGTGTCATCACTTCACAGGCCTTTCCTGATACTTCCTTCCCCCCTCTCCCACTTCGCTTCTGCTTGTTTTAAGTCACTCATCACAGGCTGTGATCATCCCCTGATTCAAGGGAATGCCAAGGGAATGTATCTCCAAGACCTCAAATAATACCTGGCACCCTGGAATTGTTGTGGGAACTCTACTTGTGGAGCTTCAATCAGTGTAATTAATCTTAAATTTGTTGCTTGCGTCAATTTGTTTTGCTACTTAGTTTTATTTAGAATTATAATTTTTTTCAGAAATTGAGTTTTGGTGAGATAGAGCTTGTGAGACAGCAGACATGATGGAATGTTTCTGTGGCTTTAGAGATTATTTAGTATATGTTGATCCGCTTTGGCTGATTAAATATTTTCACTGAAAAGAATAAACCTTGGTCATACAAAAGTGGATACTTCTTTTTTTTTTTCCTGGTCCTGGGGCTTGAACTCAGAGCCTGCACACTATCCTTGGGCTTCTTTTGCTCAAGGCTAGCACTCTGCCACTTGAGCTACAGTGCCACTTCCAGCCTTTTCTGTTTATGTGGTACTGAGGAATCGAACTCAGGGCTTCTTGCATGCTAGGCAAGCACTCTTCCACTAAGCCACATTCTTAGCCCCCCTTCCTTCCTTCCTTCCTTCCTTCCTTCCTTCCTTCCTTCCTTCCTTCCTTCCTTCCTTCCTTCCTTCCTTCCTTCCTTCCTTCCTTCCTTCCTTCCTCCTTTCCTTTTTTCTTCTTTCTCCTCCTCCTCTTTCTCCTCCTCCTCCTCCTTCTTTTTTAAAAGAAAAAACTACCAGGTGCTAGTGGCTCATACCTGTAATCCTAGCTACTCAGGAGGCTGAGATCTGAGGATCATGGTTCAAAGCCAGCCGCCTTGAGACTCTTATCTCCAGTTATCCAGCCAAAAGCCAGAAATGAAGCTGCGGCTCAAGTAGTAGAGCGCTATCTTTGGGCACAGAAAGCTCAGGGATTGCACCCAGGCCCTAGTTCAAGCCCCAAACCCGGTGTACGTGCGCGCATGTCCATGTACACTCACTAAAAAACAGAAAACAAACCTAATTCTAATTGGCACTTCAGTTTTGTAAACATGTGCTTTATTTGTCAGTAGGTGGCACTCTTGGTCATGATTACTGTTACAGAACAAGGGCTCAGTGTTTGAAAGAGAAGGGTATTTTTTGTTTTGTTGTTTGATTTTATTTTTTGGTACAGCTCCTGGAACTTGAACTAAGGGCCTGGGCTCTGTCCCTGAGCTTTCTGTGCTTAAGACTAGTGCTCTATCATTTGAGCCACAGCTTTTTTGGTAGTTGAGTAGAGATAAGAGTCTCGTGGACTTTCCTGCTGTGGCTGGCTTCAAGCCACCATCTTTAGATCTCAGCCTCCTGAGTAGCTAGGATTAAAGGCATGAGCCACTAGTGGCTGGTGAGAATGGCTTTTAATGTGAAGATGTCTTTTGTTTTTCAGTTGGGTTGCAAAGTAGAAGTACACAACAGCCACCCAAATACCCTATCACTAAGACTATTTTAGAAGTAATTATTGAAGTATTAATCAGCACAGTATTTCTGTGTTTAATTTTAACAGTTAGATTTGGCCTTACATGTCATACAGCCATGTTACTCTGGTCTTTGGCTATGTATGGTATTGCTTTCTTCAATGAATACAAGGTCAGAATGGGCAGAAACTAAACACAACCTTGGTGGCAGGTCTCAGGGATGGCCACCAGAGGGCAGGATGCAAATGCTATGGAAGGATGGACATCCTGAGTAGCGGGAGTTAAGATGAGCTAAAGAAGATGGACAAGGGAAGCAGGAAGAGAAATAGTGAAACCAGGAATGACAACATCAGGCCTAAGAATGATGGGAACCTCAAAGACAGCCTGGTACTGGCACAAAAACAGACCCGAAGACCAATGGAACAGAATAGAAGATCCAGAAATAAAACCACACCCCTACAGTCAGCTGATATTTAACAAAGGAACCAAAGACATACAGTGGAAGAAACACAGTCTCTTCAACTACTGGTGCTGGGAAAACTGGGCGGCCACATGCAGAAAACTAAAAGTGGACCCCAGCTTATCACCATGCACTAACATCAACTCAAAATGGATTAAAGACTTTAAGATCAAACCTGAATCTCTGAAACTCCTGCAGGACAGAGTAGGAGAGACACTTGAACTTATAGGCATAGGCAGGAACTTCCTGAACAGAGTCCCAGGGTCACAACAAATTGGAGAGAGACTCGACAAATAGGACTACCTTGAAACAAAAAGTTTCTGCACAGCTAAAGTCATAGCAACCAAGCTAGAAAGACAACCAACTAACTGGGAAAAAATATTTAGCAGCAATATATCAGACAAGGGGTTAGTATCTAGCATATACAGAGAACTCAAGAAACTAATCCCTCCCAAACCTAACAAACCAATTACTAAATGGGCAAGGGAACTAAAGAGAGACATCTTAGAAGAAGAGATAAAAATGACAAAGAAACACATGAGGAAATGTTCACTATCCCTGGTTGTGAAAGAAATGCAAATAAAGACAACCCTGAGATAACACTTTACCCCAGTCAGAACGGCCCACATCCTCAAGTCAGTCAACGACAAATGCTGGAGGGGATGCAGAGAAAGAGGAACCCTATTACACTGCTGGTGGGAATGTACATTTATACAACCACTTTGGAAAGCAGTCTGGAGGGTCCTCAAAAAGCTAAATATTGACCTCCTCTATGATCCAGCAATACCACTTCTAGGCATCTATCCTGAACAACAGGAACCAGGATAGAAGGACACATGCACCTCCATGTTTATTGCAGCACTGTTCACAATAGCCAGGATGTGGAAACAACCACAGATGAATGGATCCAAAAACTGGTATCTATATACACAATGGAATATTATGCAGCCATTAGTAAGGACAAAATAATGGCATTTGCAGGGAAATGGAGGGAACTAGAAGAACTCATGTTGAGTGAGGTAAGCCAAGAGCAAAGAGACAAATGGCACATGGTCTCCCTGATAAGTGAATTTTAAATTCAAAACATAAGGTGATATGACAAAGTTAACAAGACTTAAGAAACTTCCACTCATCAGGTCGAATCACCACTAAATAACACCATGCTGCTAATCACATATATGGTATATATGTGCACACTGGAGGGAAACCAGGAGGAGGACACAGAACTAGAGGGAATCAGGGAAAAACATATAACAGTGGGACCCATCAGCTGCACTTGGACATTGACCAAAATGAACTAAGCAACTCAATGGCAGCAATGGGAGGGAGGGAACAAGTGGGAAAGTGGGAACAGCTGACGCTATGCAAATGTACATATCACCTGATGTGGAAGAAATAACTGTATTGTCAAAGCTCATAGAACTCATAAATGTTATAGACCACGATAGAAAAAAAAAAGTAGTGTTTCTAATCAATGTTTTATAAATGGAAAGAATTTTAAATACCCAAAGAAATTCTCTAATAAATGCTTGCCTGCCTAAAAAGAAAAAAAAAAAAAAATGATGGGAACCAGGTAATTAAGAGAGTACTTGTGACGAGGACTGCTACTTGTAATCAGTCTTTTCATCTGCAGCTTAAACCTAGGAAGACTTTTCCAACTTCCAAAAACATCGTTCTTAACCTATTATCTCTAACATTGCAGGAACTTTATGAGAATTTCAGTATATGAAAAATGCTTCATTTCCTAAGTGGAATATATCCAGAGGTCTCAGCATAATACCAGGACCTACATATTTTCTGCCTGCTCCTTAGCCTTACACTTAATGACTTCTAAGGTAAGCTTTACCTTTTTTTCTTTCAGTGATATTAACATACCTTTTTTTTTTTGTTAAGCATATTCACAAAAGAAAAACTAGTTCTCTCTGAGGTGAAAGAGGCCATATGCCTTTTTTATTTACTAGAGAGAAAATAGCCAGTAGCATGATTATTCACAGTGCTGCCTCATACTCTGACAAGAAGAAAGACCTTTTGCTGGAGAGACTAGTTATGAAGGAGTGAGCTTCATTGCATTTGGTTTTGATAGAATGCATTTTGTCTAATTTACGTTACCACTATCTTTTTTTTTTTTCCATTTTCTTTCATTGCCTGCTAGAACTGATAGTCTTAGAGAGTGTCTGTTTTCTTCATGCCTGTATCACTAGAATGTAGGCCACTGCCTATTCATACTGGTTCTTAGTGACTATTTGTTAAGTGAAAAATTAAATTCATGATCCATGTGCTGGTGGCTCATGCCTATAATCCTAGCTAGTCAGGAGGCTGAGATCTGAGGATTGTGGTTTGAAGTTAGCCCCAGAAGGAAAGTTTGAGACTGTTGTCTCCTACTAACTACCAAAAAAGCCAGAGGTGGAGCTGTGGCTCAAGGGGTAGAGCACTAGCTTTGAGCAGAAAAGCTGAGACAGTACCCAGGCCCTGTGGTTAGGCTCCAGGACTGGCACCAAAGAAGAAAAAAATGTCATGAAGCTGGAAGCTGGTGGCTCATGCTAGTAATCCTAGCTACTTGGGGATGAAGATTGTAGTTCAACACTAGTCCTGCAAGAAAGCATGTGATACTCTCATCTGTAGTTAACTACCAAAAAGCCAGATGTTGAGCTGTTGCCCAGGTGGTAGAGCACCAGCTTTGAACAAAAAGACTAAGGGATGGTGCCCAGGGGCTTAATAAAATTAATAAATACTTCATTGTCTTGTCTATTTTCCTAACGTTAAAATTTATTACAGTTTATATAGTAAATTCCAAAGTGCTCAGGAAAAAAATGCTCATATACATGTTTACTTATTCTCGAGATCAGAGATCAGATGAGATCAGGGACGTCCAGGGTAGTAGGGCTGTCATTTTTACTTGTTCTCAAGGTCACTTATATTAGTGACCTTTCCTATCTTGGAAATGGCAGATATGACAATAAAGCTTATGTGGCTGTTTTAGGCAAAGAAGTACTTAAAGTTAGCATAACATAGGAGAAGCCAAAATTATTGTTGACTTCTAACCAGTGCTTTTCAGATAGTCCAATAATTTTAAGAAGTGAAGTGTCAGGGAACCTTTCTGTGTGTATTTTATTTTAACAAAGCCTCACCTCTTTTTTCCAGCCATATTGAGAATTGAACTGAGGTCCTTATGCTTGCCAGGCAGATGCTCTACTACTTACATCATTCCCTCAGTCCTTTTGTGTTAGTTATTTTTCAAATAGGGCTCTTGTTTATGCCCAGGGCAGCCTTGAACTGCTGTCTTCCTATTTAACCTTCCTGCATAGCTGATGACAGGTACACACTACCATTCTTATTACCCAAGTTTTATTAGGGTAGAGGTCTCAAGAACATTTTGCCTTGAACCATGATCCTCCATGGCTCCTGAGTAGCTGGGATTACAGGTGTGAGCCCCACTCCCAGCTTACTTTTTTTTTTTTTGTCGGTCTTGGGGCTTGAACTCTGGGCCTGGGCGCTGTCCCTCAGCTCTTCAGCTCAAGGCGAGCGCTCTACCACTTGAGCTACAGCGCCACTCCCGGTTTTCTGGTGGTTTATTGGAGATAGGAGTCTTACGGTCTCTCCTGCCCGGGCTGGCTTTGAACCGCGATCCTCAGATCTCAGCCTCCTGAGTAGCTAGGATTACAGGCGTGAGCCACCAGCGCCCGGCCCAGCTTATTTTTAACTTTTGGTTAAAGTATGCAGACAGAAAAGCACTTAGCTGCTAAAAGGACAGCTTGATAAATCTATTCAAAGTGAAAATAGGCATTCAGCACCAAGATTAGTGCTTTCACCAGCCACCTCTCAAGCATAACTGCTAACTGGATTTCTAACATCAGATATTTGTTTATCCTGTTTTGCACTTAAAAAAAAAAATCTTTTATCAGGCTGGGTGCTACTTAGAAAGCTGAGATCTGAAGATTGTGGTTTGAAGCCAGCCCAGGCAGGAAAGTCTGTGAGACTCTTATCTCCAATAAACTACTCAGAAAAAGCCAGAAGTGGCCCTGTGACTCAAGTGGTAGAGCGCTAGCCTTGAGCACAAAGAGGGTCAGGGACAGTGTGCAGATGAAAAAGAAAAAAGAAAAGATTTGTCAAAGAAAATGAATATTCTTTTGAGTCTGGCTTTTTTTTATTCAGTGTGATATTTGTGATATTCAGTTATTGCCTCTAATTGCAGTTTATTCATTCTCATTATTGGGTGGTAGGTATAACTTTGTGGTTATAACCTGTTTACTCTTTGAGTGGCCTTTTTGATAGTCATTATTTTGGGCTGTTGTGACTAGTATTACCATCTGTACTGGCTTTTAGTGTCTGGGAATTTTAAGCTTTTTATGTTTGGAAACCTGACTAAGTTTGTCTCTTGCATTTTATCTAACAAATACTAACAACTTACATGAAACTCTTAAAGTGGAATACAATTACCTTTTGACATAAAATCCTACTCTGTTAATAGTGTGAAATTTGTCATATCAATTTGGTTGGAGGTTTTGGGAACCACTAGAGAACATGAATATATGTCAGATGTCACATATGATGTTTAGTCCACAAGGGACCAAATATACGTCCCATAAAATTATAATGGAGATGAAAACTTCCTATTGCCTAATGACATTGGCCATAACAGCATAACTGGTGTTTGTGGTGATGCCAATATGAACAAACCTGTACTGCTAGTCATGTAAAGTATAGTACAGGTGGACACAGTATTTCAGTACTCTCAGCTACTCAGGAAGTTGGGTAATGAGGGAGGATTTTGGTTTCATGCCAGCCCAGGCAAAAAGTTCTCAAGACTCCATCTCAGCCAATAAAATTGGGAGTTATGGGGTATGTATCCCAGTGCTCTGGAAGCATGAATGGAAGATTGTGATCTACATCAGCCCAGGTGTAAACAAACATAAGACTGTATTCAAACAATGACTAAAGCATAAAGGGCTGAGGCTGTGGCTCAAGTTGTATAGAATCTGCTTGCATGAGACCCTTAGTTCATGCCTCATCTCTACCCCCCCAAAAAAGGCATAATAATACATGGCACATAATACTTGATGAATAATTGTGTACTGTTTTTCATTATTTTAGGACATACTTCTTTTGCTGATAGTCTACTGTAAAGCAGTTTTCCATATCATACCAGCAGCATCTCACACATGCTTTTTTTTTTTTTTTTCTTTTTTTGGGTCCGGTCGTGGGCCTTAGCTCTGGGCCTAGACAGCTCTTGAGCTGTCCCTCAGCTCAAGGCTAGCGCTCTACCACTTGAGCCACAGCACCACTTCTGGCTTTTTTTTTCTGCTTATGTGGTGCTGAGGAATCGAACCCAGGGCCTCATGCATGCAAGGCAAGCGCTCTACCATTGAGCCACCTTCCCAGCCCCTCACACATGCTTATTGTGTTTTTTGATCACCTCAAAAGGCCATGTTGAATAATTAACCTATACCATCTAGGTTTGTATAAGTACACTGGATGGAATTTGCCCAGTGATGAGTTTGCCTAATGAAGCAGTTCTCTAAATCCATCTCTGTTGATTGTTAGTAATGCATGACTGTATTTGATAGTGGCCACTATGTATTTAAGTCCTGTGCGTGTGTGTCAATCACCTCTGAACACTGCCAGCAATCTTGCCAGGTAAAGGCAGGCCCTGCTTGCTTTGTAACAGCACAGAAATTCACACTCTTTTCACTAATTGCTAAAATGGTCTTATTTCTCTACTTCTTCTGAAAATGATGTTAAATTTCAGTTTTATGTTTGCCAGGAAGCACCATGGCCTGTGCTGCCATGTTGATTCCCAGGTTATTGCGAGGCTCTGTTGGTGCCATTTGCACTCAGTCTGCTTTGTGGAAGTTGACATCCAGCACTTTGCGTCACCTTGCTCAAACCAGGTGAGTGATAAGCCTGAAGTGTCATGTTAGGTTGATTTTCAGAGGTCTGACCAGCAGATAGTTCTGGGAGGCTTGCCAAACACTCAAAAGAAGCAATAGACTGGCTTCAGTATGCATACCACCACAGCTTGTTAAATTTTAGTTAGTTGTACTAATTTTCCCTGGCTGTTTTGCATAATATTATACCTTTGAATAACCCATGACATTACAGGGAAAACTAATCTTATGTTTTTAGAGGGTAATACTTAACCTAATTTTACTTTTTATTAAAGCGTAATGAAATCCAAAAGGAAAACTGATCACTTGGAGAGAACTGCGAGTGTCATTCGGCAGGAGGTTTGTAACTTTGGGGCCGGGCAGGGTTGCGTGGTTGGACAGTTTGCACACTGGCTTAAGGGAGAGGCATTGGTTGAGGCTGGTCCCTTTGAAGGACAGAGACAGTAAATTTATTTTTTTGTTCTGAGATTTTCTAACAGAAGACAATTTAAGATGATAGAGAAGTACTGAATCTTTTTCCTTTAAGCATGGTGAATGAATTAATTTTTGGTGAGGGAATGTAGCAGCAGTCAAGAGAATTGTCCTTACAGGTATGATGCTTAGGGTTATATTTTAGAGCTGACATTTTCTTTTTCTCCCTTCCCCCCCCTTTTTTTTTTTGGCATGTCTTACTCATCTTTAGTCATCCTCAGAACCACTTCCTATTTCATGAAGGGAACACTAACATCTGAGGAGAAAAGTGGATGAGCTCTTGTTGCCCTTCCCAAGCACAGATTTTTCTCATCATACTCAGATTGTAGAAACTTGACACCTGCAGGGGTGTCAAGGGCTGGGCAGTAAAGGATCCTCACCCTTACTTCAGTGAGTAATGCCATTTTCACTTAAAGATATAATCTGAATATTTAACTTTGCTTTTTTGACTTGTTTCACACTTACTCAGATATAGTTAGATTCATGAGCTTAGTCTATTTAAGCTAATCGTTTAAAAATATGTTTTTTATATATACATAAAATGATTAGAAATTGTATTGTTCTGGTATTTTAACTTAATGGATTAATAGGAAGAGACAATAGGAGATGTATTGTTTAAGTCCTACTTTTAAAACTAATTCTATTTTCAGAAAATTGCTCTGGAACTGATTTGGCTTTAAGTTGACTTTTTTTAAAGTCTATGAAATTAGCTCATCAGAGAAAGTATATAGTTGTATAGGAAATTACATTTTCCTCATTGATTATAAATCTGAAAATACTTTGATTTGCTTAGCATACAAAAATACCGTGTAAGGATTATTAGGATTTCCTCTTGAAAAGTTAAAAGCTTGTACTGTACTATTGCCTGTATTATTTTGAGGCAGGAAAATACAACAGGTTTTGGCAAATTTTGTGTAAGGGGCCAGCTAGTAAATATTTTCAGCTCTGTGGGTCATGTCTCATTTATAGCTTCTAGATTCTGGTGTGAAAACAGCTGTAACAGTATATAAACAAATGAGTGTGGTTGTCCCAGTAAAATTTGTTTTTACCTAGACACTCGGATCTGGCCTAGAGGTAACAGTTGCCAGTCTGTCTATTAGGATAGTCATCTCAGGATTTAGGACAAAAATATTGGGACTTTTAGGGGGTTATTTTGATCTAAGTTTAGGACAAAGCAAGTTAATGTAAAATTGACAGCATGTAGAGGTAAGAATCTTAGCTTCTTAGTAATCAGAAAATTACAGGGTTAAATTTCTGTTCCTGTAGGAAGAATTTCCTAATTTAATTTCTTTTCCTCTGGTTTCTAATTTTTACTCTCCCAAGTAGAGTGAGCACTGAGAGATAGTAGGAATTGGATGTTTTCTGGGAACACTGTCTTAGTGTATGGCATTAAGATCTCTCCAGAGGGCACTATTATCCACAGACTAGGAGCTTGTCCTTACTGAACAGACCTGCAGGCTGGACCAGGACAGAACTAGACCAGTTCCTCTCAGTGTTAGCCAGTACAAAGCTCCTATGTATCATTTGCTCTTCAGGTCAAGTCCAGCAGGTAGCCTAACAATAGGATACCTTCTACATTGTACAAAAGATGGAATGAATGTGGTCTAGGATATGTCTTAGGGACTTTCCTAGAGTCAAGCAAGCTGCAGCTTAAAATTCTCTCCAGGCTCAAGACCTTGTGGTCTCCTCCCAAGTGGATAGAGAATGGAACAATCACTTACCAAGAAGCAACCTTTCAGTATCAGGCATTGTATCTCCTCTGGCAGACTTAAGAATGCCCATTTTATGATCTTAGTGCTTTTTTCATGAACTATAAATATAAGCAGTCTGAGGTCATGCTGATGAGGAAACTGGGCTGTGAAGAGAATGACATTTAATGTGCTCAAGTTCGGATTTTTTTCCTAAAGGATTGAAGAATAAGTCGGGGTAACCTTAGAAATGTCAAGAAGATAAGAGTAGATATATTTTAAAGCAGTAAGCATTGTTCAAGCAAGAGTGATATTTTATTGGATGGGTCATTTTGTACTTGTCCTCAGCAGGATTGGTCCACTGAGCAAGATACACTATGTCCATCAGTTTTGTGGGACCATTTGGCAATGAATGATTCTAATTAGATCATTCCTATGCATTCATTTATTTGGAAATATGCCAGCCACCATGCTAGGTACTGGGCATTGAAAGTGCTAGACAAGCCATAGTCCTCAGGTTTTTAGTGGAGCTCTAGTCCATAGAAACTGATTTTGTGCACTTAATTGATTTTGGAAAAGCTAATTCTGTTTCACTGGTACTGTTACTTTTATCCTACAGTGTCTTATGTGTATTGTTGCCTTTCTGTTTACAAAGCTTCTAATTCCACAGTAGATTGGTATGTGATTCTTATAGCCATGTTGGGAATGAGGTATAGCATTCCTATTCTCGCTTCACTGATGGGGGAATTAAGATGCAGAGATTTTGACAGGACCATCCTGCATCCTGATGTGACTGAGGTAGTACTAGTGTGTGCCTTTCGTTCCTAGTGTGATCATCAAGAGCGCTTTTACTTTGAAATTGTCCTTTTAAAAAAATTTTTTTTATCCTAACTCATAGCTTTGACTGAAGTTTAAAGGACCTGTTCAATAAGGGAAGGACTCAGCCCATCACCTCGGGTCTCTGATAATCAAATCAGTTTTTATTACAACAAAAGACTATCACTTGGTTTAATTGAGCATTGTGGAGAATTACTGATGACACAGTGGTTAGTTAGTAAAGCCAAAGGGCTGGTCTCCTGGGCCAGAGACCTTCAGAGACACTGGTTCTCAGCATTGATCTTTCAGTACTCAACGGTGTGCTTGACCAGGGTTTTGTTGAGGTGTGGGTTTGAGTGGGACGGGCTGCATAGTTGGAGAGTAGACTATGTCCACATTTAACTGCACAATTTTCTGCCTTTTGAGGGGATTTTGTGCTTCCGTGTGAGGAAGGGATGTGTCTTTTTTTCTCAGGAGTTGTAATCTTCACCATATTGTCCCCAGTGACAAAACAGGCTGGGGCACCCGTTATTTAGTGGTAGTTATAGGAACTCGAGAGAGATTAGGTCACTGCCTCTGGGAGAAACACCCAGGGAGGGACAGTCTGATGGCCTGGCAGCTAGACTGGCTCATTGGAGCGTACAACTCACTTCAGAGAGTGAGAGCCTGCAAAGAAAAGGAGGCTCCTTGGAGGAAGGGGCTGCCATACTGCAGGCACACAATACTTGCTTTTGGATAGAATGTGCATGCACTAATCCTAGCTTGGTAGCAGATTTACTTAAATGAATTGCTTTGTGCAGAGGAGTGGTAGTGATAGCCATCTTAAAGGTGAGGTGATGGGATGTTGTTCATACAGACAGAAACTATGTAAAATGAGAATGTTGCCTGCACTGCTGCTACTTGCTTATACCTGGGGCAGACCTGTGGAGTTGCAGTCACTATAATGCAGTATGTGGCAGAGTGTGACCTCACAGAAGTGAAGCTCTTTTCCTTCTTTCTCCAAAGCGACCCAGTCAAGTGCAGTGAATCCTCATTCATTATACATGGTACAATGAATATACTAGCCCAGTTTAGGTACTGGTACTAAAGCATTATGCTGAATGTTTAGTTATACTGCGATATGTCTTGCGGGCAAGCCAGATGAGGTCAGATGTAAAAGAACTGTGAAGGAAATAAAACAAGGTTATGGGAGGAAAGACTGGCTGGGGGCAACAGTGCCATCTAAATCTGTACTTAATACTTGAGCTGAGACTTGGATAAAGAAAAGAGCTAGCCATGCATCTAGAATTCTGGCAGCCTGACTAGGATGCCAGGGTTTTGAGGCAGGAAGAAGGCTGGTGTATTTAGGGGAGACTGATGTAAGAGAGGATGATAGATGACCAGGCTGTATACACGGTTGTTCTTGAATAAGGAGTTGGAATTTATTCTGGGGATAATGGAAGGCTTAGTCAGGGAAGTGAATGATATTTTCATTTTAAGTGAGATATGTTTGTTTGGCATAAACTGAGCTTTTGTTGTGCTTTGGCCTTAAGTTGGAAGCTGTTACCATAGTCATAGGAGAGGTGCTGGTGGTGAGGATGGAGAGTGGTAGTTGGGGTTCATGCATGGAGAGAAGAAAGCAACATGCTTTCTAGGTTTCACAGCTGAAGAATCTGATAGGTAAAGATGCAGTGGTGGTGGCAAATACTTGCTGAAATGGAGAAGGGTGGGGAAGTGGCTAGCTTTGGAATAATCTGGAGTGGGGTTGGGGCTTGCTGGTGGAATAACAGATGAAACAAGGTTAGCCATGTGTTTTAGCAGCTCATATCTACTGTTGAACTTGAGTCATAAGAGAAGATGGGTGTATTTAGCAATTTTAACTAATTTTATGTATGTTTAAATTTTTCTTTTTTTAAATTTTTTATTTTATTGTAGAGGTGGGGTACCGAGGGGCTACAGTTACATCAGTCAGGTGATGAGTACATTTTTTTTTTTTTTGGGGTCCATTGGTGGGGCCTGAACTCTGGGCCTGGGCGCTGTCCCTCAGCTCTTCAGCTCAAGGCTAGCGCTCTACCACTTGAGCCACAGTGCCAAGTTTTCCGGCTTTTTTTTTCTTTTTGCTTATGTGGTGCTGAGGAATCGAACCCAGGGCCTCATGCATGCAAGGGAAGCGCTCTACCACTGAGCCACCTTCCTAGCCTGTATGTTTAAATTTTTCTATAATAAAAGGAAAGATATTTTAGGAAAAATAGCTTTGGGATAGTTTGAGGTGGTTGAAGGGAGTCTATGCTTTGTCATTTATTTTTCCCTGGGACAAATAAGGAATATATTTTGAGGTGGAAATTCAGATCAGCGGCTGTGTGTGTGAATTTGACATTCACTGGTGAAAATGAGGCCTAAGACTGAGAGGGGGTGGAGAGGAGGGCCCAGGTCTCAGCCCTGCTTGGGTCAACAATTAGAAGACAAAGAGACAGAAGAGAGAGGAGTGGCAGTAGGCTGGAGGAAAGTCAGCCTCTGGTTGAGCCCAGGAGAAAGTAGTGGGAGAAGGTGAGGGTGGCTAGCTCTGTTGGATTGTGCTAAGGGATCCTGTCTGGATTTACCACAGAAGCTGCCTGGAGTACATTGCTAGACACTGGAGGCCTGACTGGGGTGAGTTGGAAAGAGAATAAGAGATTAGAAAGTGGAGGTAGAGGTAAAAGGATCTTGAGTTTGAGGCTAGCCTGGAAAAACAACAACAAAATGGAGTCAGAATCCTACCTAGCTCTTGACATGCTTTGATAGGAATAGGAGCAGAGAAATGAGGTGACAGCTGAATGAGAGACCTGTTTGTTGCATTTTAAGAAACACCAAAACACCCAAGTTCTGGATTCAGATCTGTTTTGGTACTTACTAGATCTGGGATCTCAAATTACCTTGTGTAAAAAAAAAAGGATAAATAACAGTCGGCTTTTGGGCCATTGTGGAGAGTGAATGAATGAATGAATACATACATGTGAAGTGCCTGGCATGCAGTTGATAAGTGCTGTCAGTAAGCATCTGAGATGGGAAATCCTATAGCTTACCCACATTCTTTTATTTTTCAAATGTCATACTGGGGTTTGAACTCAGACCCTGGATACTGTCCTTCAGCAATTTTGCTCAAGGATAACACTCTGCCACTTGAGACCAATTTGAACGTCTGGCTTTTTGGTGGTTAATTGGAGATAGAGTCTCATGGACTTTGCAGTCTGGGCTATATTTGAACATAGATCTCAGATCTTAACCTCCTGACTAGCTAGCATTACAGGCTTGAGTGTACCAAGCATCACTCAGGTTCTGATGAGAGGACAGGGCAGGGGTAATTCAGGAGAGGACAGTTGCTGGAGTGAAGCCCAAGAAGGATAGCCCAGGTGAACAGGTAGCCTTTAGTAGGAGTAAGATGTCAACTATCATGCTAGGACATAGTGTTGATGAACATCATCCACTGAAGTAAAATTGATTGTTAACAATTTGTCCTTTTCCCTCCCTCATTCCCTTCCTCCTTCTCTTCCTTTCCTCCTACCCCCTTTTTCTTTTTTCTTTATTTTCTTAAGACAGAGACTCACTATATAACCCAGGCTTGCCTAGAACTTACTATATAGCCCAGGCTGACCTTGAACTTGTGATCTTCTCATACAGTTTGTCAGTAACTTATTCAAGTAAAATTGACTTAAAAGAATTAGGTTCCTCCGTGCCAGGTCGGGATTCTGGACATTTAATAATTTCTCTGGGTCTTGGTGTGCTCATGTGTAAAGTGGCATACTATTTCAATAATAGTTTCCTTCAACTCTGAAATTCTCTGAGCCCTAACTATAATTTTTTTAGGTTATCTCTGAAACCGGCTTGGCTTAAATGTATTTAGCCCAGAAAGTGAATAAATAGGAGTGAAAATAGGGGAAGCCAGTTAGGTTTCCAAAGATCTATTTCTTGAATGATATCTGCATCAGCAGTATCATTCAAAATATCCCATATAAAACCAGCTTTTTAAAATAAATGAGATGGAATTTCCTTTTACTTGCTGACTTGGTAGAAGTATTAAAGTATACCAGTAGAAGTTGGCAACTGTGTTGCTATTTTATTGGAAGAGTCTAAATGTTATTTTATGGAGAACTTCATTTCCTGCCATGTGTTTTAACTTAGGATGTGGCTAGTTGTGTTTTGGTCATGGAATCTTTTGATCCATTAACTATAAAAGCAAGTACAATGTTAAAACATATAGTTTGTCCATTATGTTTTACTTACTCAGTAAGAGTGAAGAAGGAATGCTGTATGGTAAGAATCACAATTCTAGATCGTAGTTATCTGAACTAGTTTCAAAACAAACATGGGCCCATGGAGACATTTAATTTATGTTTTAAATACACATGGCTAGACATCTTTATATACTAGGTGGCATTAAGCAGTATGTAAACAGTCTTTAAAAATCATGAGTTATGCTAGGCATTTTGGGTTTCAGTTACAGTAGTTTTGTCTAGACTCTTAGGATGAATAGCATTATGTACATAGCTGTTTTAATACTAAAGGACATAATAATTCATATGGGAATGATTTTTGGTCACAGACATTATCTAAATGAAAATATGGCTTAATAGGAAGTTTAACTTTTTTTCCTTTACCTTTCTTTGATATAAGAGACCATTTGGCCAGCAGAAGCAGATACCAGTTCCAATGAAGGAGGTCTTGCCCCCTCTGACTACTCCCACATTTCTTAAAAGAATCTGGATTTTCTCTGGTGTCTTTCTCATATCCCCTTTTTAAAAGCAAAAAAATGCTCCTGAACTTCTACTGACCTTAGTTTGTAAACTGTTTTTAAGGACTATTTTGCAGGTGCTTATTGAGCCCGATGGGGTCCTGGGCTTGATTGAAGGAGCTGATTTAGGTATACATTCTATCCCTTTCTGGACTGTTTTCATTAATATGTATCATATTTAATAGGAAAGAGTGTATTGTGTTTGTACAGTTGAGAGGATGGAGGTAAGAGAGAAATATGGGGAATATTTGAGCAGGGTCTGGAGGTAAATAGTAAGTGATAGAATGGAGAGGATATGGCCCATAGAGTTTGTGGGGGAATGTATGGGTCTTAGGTGCCTTTGGAGACCAGCAGGTTGCTCAGGAAAATGACAGCATAGGGATCCAGGAGCAGCTCGAGCTGGTATGAGTTATTCAGCCATTTAGCTTTTTTCTTGTTAAGTAGTATAGAGCCCCAAAAGCTGTGTGAGCTGAGGGATTACCCAGGTTGAACCATAGCAGTAGTCACTCATTGACTGCTTTGAGACACACAAGAAGGAAGCCCGAATAGCAGTGAAAATGAAAAAAAGAAATGTTCAGCTAGGATGGTGAAGGTGGGCAAAAATTCATGGACACTTGGCTGTGTTGGGGACAACATGCTAGAAAGAGTCAAGTGTTTGTAGAGCAACTGAGAATAGATTTGACAGTGTTGATTGCAAGAGGGGTCCAGAATTGAAAGTCCGGTGGTATAAAGCAGCTGATTTTGTTCTGTCAGGATGGGGGCAGCCTTCTCCAGCTCTGCTTCCAAGTTGTCCAGTTCCAACCACTACATTCCGGTGCCCAGAACTAGGCAAGAATGTAGTGGGTTTAGTTCTACACATAGATAGAGTTCACCATTGAGGTAGTGCTGTCAGATGATAAAAGGCCAAGCTAATCTGGGTTTGAAGTTCCTAGCTTAGGTGATCTTGATCCATTGGTGAACCTTCCCTTATATTCATCTGCTGGATGAGATGTACAACAGAGCATCTCTTGAGTTGCAGTCATTTGTAGCAGTTGAAAGTTTATGTGCACTAGCATATAAAGCATTTAACCCAACCTTTGGTATCTGAAATAGTGGCATGGTGGTCAGCATGCTTTGTGTGTGTGTGTGTGTGTGTGTGTGTGTTGAGGGTGAGGTTAGCAAAGTCTTCCATTGAGGAAATGGGATAAGGAATGGTAAAAGAGGAGGAGGACTAGGGCAGACAGGCAGGAGGGAATCTGAAGAGTTCAGAGTCAGCTACCTCAGGCAATGAGAATACTTCAGGATGGGTAGTCCAAGTTCAGAGAGATCAGGAAGAGGGAAATAACACTGGATGTTGAATATGGTTTTCACAAACGCATTGACCAACCTGGGGAGGACAAGATGCAGAAGGGCAGAGGCCAACTATCCTGTAGGTTAAGAGAAGCATCAGGGAAAAGGGAAGGGAAGGTTCATAGGCTAAGGTCAAGCTCATCATCTCAGTTAGAAGCAGGGATAGAAGGCAGGATTTCAAAAATACTTACGACAATTTGCATTCATTTAGTAGTCAGTGGGATAGAAAGTATACAAGCTACAAGCCCATCACACGGCACATTTCCTGGTCATTGATGATGAGTTAGTGCTCTGTGGGCAAGGTGCTGTGCAGCAGCATTGTTGTGGTGGCACAAATACTAATATTGAAGTGAAGTACATAATGTAAAATGAGTGCTCGTAAGGCCTGATCAACACAATCAAATGCATTATAACAAACATGTAATAAATACTATGGACAATAGCATTAGAAGTGTTTTGCATCTACCTCTCATTTAGTCCTCCCAATAGAAAGCAGATACATCATGACAATAGTGCTCTCACACTCTCTGTAGGGAAGGGCTCTTTATGTTCTGTCAAGGTTGTGAATGGTTTATGTTTTGGACAATACAATAAATAAAAAGAATAGAAAACAAAGACATGAGTACAAATCCAGTTCTGTTGTGAGTCAATAGACACAGCTACCCTGTAAAATTGCTGGGGAAAAGGTTGTAAGTGCTTACTTCAGTTTCTGCAGTTAGCTTGTCGTGTGTGTGTAACTTCCATACTCAGAAGCACTAGTGGTCATACTCTGCCTAGTGCTGATGGAGAGTCAGGTGCCAGGCAGGTTGCTCTTTCCTCCCCCTCGTCCCCAGCTCTCCCTAAAGAGCCTAACCCAGTACATGGCAACACAGTGCATGTCACAGGGCAAATATTTGTTAGATGTATACTTGTTAGACAGTCCCTCTTTATGCAGAATAAGATTAGTATTGTAGCAGATCTTTCCAAAAGTTAATTAAAATTTTCACCTGGTGATTTGGCAGGTTTATAAAACTCTTACCTTTACAGATTTCACAATAATCACGGTTGTTCCCAGAAAGCCCTGTTTGTTCCTTTGCTATGCATGCACTAACCTGAGCCCTGGTTCACCTTGGCTCTAGGTCGTAGCTGCAGCTAAAGTGTGTGGAGCTGCCAATGAGTCACCATCAGTGAAGAGCCTGCACTTGCTTGTTGCTGATCAAGATTTTTCCTTTAAAGCTGGTCAGTGGTAAGTAACATCCTTTTCCCAAGGATATATATTTAAGAAGGTGCCATCAGAAGTGATTATGTTTTCTTCTGGAAAGAACTTCTAAGGCTACCTTTCATTGCTGGGTTGCCTCCGTGTCCCCCACCCTCTAGACTCCCCCAGGGAGAAGAATCTAGGTCATTTTCATTCATGGTGATCACGGAGAATGTGTCTCCTTTCTTGGCCTGAGCCCATGTTCCTCTCAGTCATATATGAAAATTGCTTTGAATTTTCCAGCTTCAAACAAAGCAGCTAGTTCTGGTCCATGGAACCGACAGCTCTGATAATTGCGTTCTGCAGGAAAGCTTGCTAATGGAATGCACTGCAATAATCTAATCTGCTTGAGTTATGTGTTGCTGGGGAGTCGTATGTTTCTAAAAATTAGTCTTCTTTATGTCTAATCAAGAGTAGAAAAAGCAATCTGAAAGAAGAATAACCTGATAGATCATTACAGGACTGACCATCCTCTCCACTGAATTCCTGTGTCACTCATACCTTGTCTGGGTTGAGTTTAAAATATTTTGCTTAATTTATTGTCAGGATTCCTCAATCAGCCCCACGCACCCCTCCACAAATCACAAGTGTGTCCCTTTCAACTCTGAGGACTAATCAGTATGCTGACAGGCTAACAGCCCAGCTGTCCCACTTCCTCCCAATGGCCTCACAAAGCTGCAATTCAAGTGGAATTATAAATAAAGCAGCTTGTATTTCCCTAGGAAAGGTGTGTTTGGGTGTGTGTGGCCTTTATTTAAATAAAGCATTCATTCCTAAATGAATTTCTGGCTTGTCAGTCTCCATAGTATTTCTTAGGAGTCACTTGACTAATTTTGGCAGTCCATCTGGAAATGTGGTTTTGTTAGGAGGAGGATGTGTGATAATAGCAAGAGTTAGCAGTCTTGTGTTAATAGTTTGCCTTTGAATTTAGAACTAGAAAACAAGATGCTGATTGCAATAATTTGCGTTTGTGAAGCAATTTACTGCAATCTTTGCACATGTTCAGTGATACATATTAAATGCATTTTGGCAGTTTTAGGGGGTGGGCAACATATTTACCCCTTCAAAAATGGTTTCGCAGTTATTATATTGAAAAGTAGAAATTTTAATTGTAATGATATGGTTTTGTTTTTTTCCCTTATTTCCCTCCGATGGAGCATTTGTGTCCTGTGCATGGCATTGTCTCTGAACCTTCAACTCTGAATTCTTCTTTCCCCAATATCCTGGTTGGAAAAAGATACCCTAGTGTGCTTGTGAGTGTATTAGCACTGATAGGCTGCAATGACCTGATGAGAATAATGTCCTTCCCTAGTGGTGTATATGGAAATGGGTCCCGCAGTGCTCTCAAGAGAAAAACAACAACCAGAGTTGGTGTGATGTTGCCCATCCCAGTGAGTAGATCTGTCCTTTCACTGATGGTAGCCCTGTTTTTAGTGTGTGCCTGACAGCTCTGGCTTCAGGGGTAAGATGGGAAGGAGATTGTGGTTGATGGCTGGTTAGTGGTAACCATTTCCCTGCTTAGTGTGTATTAGCATTCATTCCTTGGCCCTTGGCACTCTCCGTTTAAAAACCTTAACCCTTGCTGAAACTAGTTATAGGCCCAAACTCCTGAGATTTCAAATGTCAGGTCTGGCCATTCATTCCAATATAACAAAAAATGAGATGATGATAGTGAAAGGCAGAGAAGGAAATTTCTTACAACTGTTGGAAGAGGCCAAGTAAACACTTTATTTCATCTTCAGCTGTCTTCTAGGTACAGAGATGAGCTCTAGGTTAAGTAAACAACTGTGGGCAGAAGGAGAGAGGCATGGATAATTATTCAACAGTTCTGGTTAAAGTATGTGTTGGCTGAATGTTACTTCAGTGCGTGTTTCTGGAGAGGTTCTGGAGAAGTTGTTACTGCTGCCTTCACTGGTCAAATAAGCAAGTCATGAAATTGCCTGGTGTGTTATAAAGATACTATGGAACAGGCTTGGTCTTTGCATATTCCAAGGTGATTGCTAGGTGGCTGCTGGAGAATGGCTTAGGGCAAAGACATATACATATATAAATATATACACACACATATATAAGTCTTCATATATACATATATATGTATATATTTACATACATGAAGCAGGGAGGGGAGGAGGGCTAGGGTAAGCTTCATCAATATTCACCACCTATGTATATGTTTGGAAATGCCCTTTATATAACTAATACATGCTAATAAAAAGTCTTTAAAGAATAATGGATGCCAAACTTTATTTCTGCTTGTGGTTGTTTCATGGACCCAAGTAAGTAGTCGGCGCTTTTCAGAAAAAGCAGCTTTTAAGAACCTCTTACATTACTGTTGACTTACTATGTGGTTCTAGGGGTTGTGAGTTCCTTTTGGTATTTGACCTTCTGGTTTACAGGAGGGCCATTTCTCTTAGGTTGGTGATGTCCCTTCATGTTGTATTCTTAGTAGATGGCTTTGTGCTTCAGATTCTTTGGAGAAGACTGAGGATTAGGTGATTGGGAGCTGGGATGTAGCTGCCAGGCCGTCTGTGAAATTAGTATTGTGAGTGGAGAGCCACTAGGGATAAAGGAAAGGATCACTTCCAGGCTGTGCTTGGGTGATTTAATTGGGCCAGGGCCTCACACCTCTGAATTCTTCACCTGTGGCCTCCTCTCATATTTGAGAATGAGGTCCCAGATCTAACTTTTGGGTAAACAGACAAATGCTGTTCATGAGTAGAGCTTTGGCCCAGGTCCTCATGGAGACACTTTTCACTTTTAGACCAAAGATTGACCTAGGGTTGGGGAGGCGGGCGGGGCGGGGGGGTGGTGGGGAGGGGGGCGGGGAAGGGGAGGAGAGGATCTACCTGTGCTGCACTGTGTTGTACTGGGCCCTTCATAGGGAACTGGTACATGACCTGAGAAACCTGTTCTGAGAGGTCAAGCAGTCCAGTCCAGAGGGAAAGGCCAATAAAGGAAACTACCTCAAAACATTTCTCATGAGGGGAGAGCTAAAGCTCTTGGGTTCCTCTTACTAGAAGGCTACCTTGTTCCTTGGTAGGGCCTACCCTTCACCTTGCCAGGCTTTACCTGCCTGGGGGTGGAAAGGGTGTGCAGTGGGTAGCTGTTGTATGTTCCAGTACGGCACTGAATACTCGTCTCTTGTAGTGGCTACACTGTTGTGAGTGTAGAGACTGCCCAGCTCACATGCTTGCATTCTTCCTGCTAGCTCTAGAATGGGAGCATCTTCCATATTTCCCTAGGCATCAGAATTCAGATCTTTGAAGAAGAAGCAATTGTATTCCCATATTTGGGAATATTTTATGTGTTTATCACAGTGCCTAATGTTAACTTGGTTAGGTTGGTTTTACTTTGTTGTTTTTAGTACATTTGTGCTGGTGAGACCCAGAAAGGGGGCAGATTGCAGTTCTTAGTTCTCTGAAGTGAAGTTGTTGGAAAAGTGGTGGACCATTCCTCCTATGACCACACAGAGAAAGCCTTGCATCCCCTGGCTCTTCAGACTCTGTTTTTCCATTACACTGTGGATTTTGTTGTTGTTTTGGCGCTACTAAAGCTTAAATTCAGGGCCTTGCACTTGCAGGTACCTTACAACTTGAGCCACATACTTTTAGCCCTGTTCTTCATGTTTTTTGTTTTCTGGGTTGTTTTTTTTGAACTGGACATGCACTTGGGTCTCAGTGCACCTGATGGCTTCTCACATCACTGGGATCACAGGTGCACCTCTGTGTCCAGCTTCACTACATAGAGATAGAATCTTGTGAGTTTTTTTTTTTGTTTTGTTTTTTGCCTGGGCTGGCCTAGTATCACCATGCTCCTAGTCAGCCTCCCATGTAGCTTGGAATGTTAGGTGTGTGCCGCTACGCCCAGCTTTGGATTGAAAAGGGGTCTCATGTACCTGTCTGCCCTGCTGTGGCCTCAAACTGCTGTCTTCCCATTCTCAGCTACCCACACACAGTTAGGATTACAGGCATGAACTTCTGATGCCTCCAGGCTTACAATTTGTGAGTTTAAGATTCACAGCATATCCTTTTGCGAAGTTTTAAACCTCCATTTCTGGTAGAATTGCTTTCTTCCTTTTGCCCTGACTCTCGACTGTAGGCCGATTTTATTATATATTTTAATTGTATTTGTTTCCTAACTTTTCTCCCATTAGAGTAGGTAGGGGCAGGAGCCCTTAGCGTGTGTGTGTGTGTGTGTGTGTGTGTGTGTGTGTGTGTGTGTGTGTGTGTGTGTGTGTGTGTGTGTGTGTGTGTGTGTGTGTGTGTGTGTGTCTCTATGCCTCCTACAAGTTCCATGGTGCTGTACATGGTAGGCAGGAACTTTTCCATGGGGTTTGTGCGAGTGGGAGCTCTAAGCACGGCACAGGACTAAATTGGGATCTCCCAGTACAGCTTCATCATTTGGCCACTGTTTGCATGTCCATTGTGGGTGGGCTCAACACCAGGCACTTGGTCTACTGTGACAGGACGTGGCTGCCTGGTGAACCCATTGGACATCAGTGTGCTGCTGTGTTCTACAGCTGGACTTCTCAGTTCTGTGTGTTCACACTAGGTACCTACAAGTGTGCATTTTTTGTGTGTGTGCCAGTCCTGGGGCTTGAACTCAGCGCCTGGGCACTATTCCTGAACTTGTTCTCTAAAGGGTGGTACTCTACCACTTGAGCCACAGCTCTGCTTCCTGCTTTTTGGTGTTTAACGAGCTAAGAGCATCATGGGCTTTTCTGCCAGGCTGACTTCAAACCACAGTCCTCAGATCTCAGCCTCCTGAGTAGTTAGGATTACAGGCATGAACTACTGGCACCTGGCTGAAATGGGCATTTTTATTTTATTTTATTTTTTAAATTTTTTTTGTGGGGCTTGAACTCTGGGCCTTGAACTCTGGGCCTTGAACTCTGGGCCTAGGCACTGTCCCTGAGCTCTTCTGCTTAAGCCTAGTGTGCTCTACCATTTGAGCCACAGCATCACTTCTGGCTTTTTCTGTTTATGTGGTACTGAGGAATTGAACCCAGGGCTTCTGAATGCTAGGCAAGCCTTCTACCACTAAGCAACATTCCTAGCCCCAAATGGGCATTTTTAAAAGGTGTTGTTTAAAGCCTAATTCTTTCTTAAAGAGATGTTTTATGAAATGTATATTGTGCATAATTCTTAAGTCCATTCATATAGGGTTTTAAAAATAACTTCATTTATTTATTATTAATGAAAAAGGCCCTTTTTCTTCTGAAGGTAATTTTCCAAAGTTACTAAGAGAGTTGCTTTTACTTATCTTAGAAGAGTAGTAATCAGCATTGATCAGCAGGGGGTGCTGTGGTTCAGGAGATGAAGCAGGGGAAAGTAGTTCATTGATTTTTTTTTTTTTTAAGACCTGGAAATAATGATGATAGTGATGATTTTGTATACCTCCTGTCTGATAGCATACAGCAGCTGTGCTATTAATAAATTTGAACTGTAGTCTTAAGTTTTTACCCTGCCTAAAATGAAAGGGAAGCTAAAGTATTCACGGGGAAGAGGCAAATGCACATAAGTAAATATAGACTGGAGACCTACATTCCCAATCCAGGACTTGGCCCCCACACCCCCCCCTTTGGTTGTGTTTTTTGTTTGTTTGTTGTCAGTTGTGGGGTTTGAATTCAGGGTCTGAGCTCTTTCGCTCAAGGATAGTGCTGTACCACTTGGAGCCACAGCTCCACTTCCAAGGTTTTTTGTTTTGTGTTTTTCTTCTGTCAGTTGTGGGGCTTGAACCCAGGGCCTGGGTGCTGTTCCTAAGCCTCATTGTGCTCAAGGCTAGCACTCTAACAATTGAGCCACTTCACCAGGCCTTGTTTTTAGGACTAAAAATAGTGAATATTTGAGGCTATAGAGGATAGTATCCCCCCTCCCCCTATCCACCCTGTCCTGGGGCTCAAACCCAGGGCCTGAGTACTGTCCATGAGCCTCTTTGTGTTCAAGGAAAACACTCTACCACTTGAACCACAGTACTATTTCTGGCTTTTTTGAGTAGTTTATTGGGGATAAGAGTCTCACAGGGACTATTCTGCCCCGGCTGGCTTCAAACCACAATTCTCAAATCTCAGCCTCTTGAGTAGCTAGGATTATGGGTATGAGCCACCAGCACCCGGCATTTAAGTATACCTTAAGGATATGAATCAAATCATTAAGAGAATCTTGAACTTTATATCTAAGCTTATTTATAGGAAAACAAATAGACACAGAAACCTTTTGTTCTGGTGGCAGAGAAACCCCTAGAATGGATGTTTTCAGTTACCTAGACATGATAATTAGAATGTTATGTGCCAGGTTCTTTTCTTGATAAGTGACCCAGTTTGTTGCATTTCTTATGTCACCGAAAACAAAGCATTGAAAATTAGAATTCACCAGTTCTAGATTAAGGCCATGTCAGCTTATATAAGTTTGACAATGGGTTTGGCTAATGGGTTTTTGTTGCCTTTTGAAAAAAGTGTGTGTTTTTAAAAAAAATTTAAAAAGGACATTTTTGCTAGGCACTGGTGGCTCACACTTGTGGTTGATATCTGAGGAGCATGGTTTGAAGCCAGACTGGGCAGGAAAGTCTGTGAGACTCTTATTTCCAATTAACCACCAAAAAGCCAATGTGGTCAAGTGGTAGAGTGCTAGCCTTGAGCTTTAACAAACTTCAAGGATAGTGCCCAGGCCCTGAGTTCAAACCTCAGGACTGGCGTGTGTGCACATACACGCACACACACGCACACAACCACCAAGCAAACAAAATGAACAAAAGATTTTACAGCCAAGCATGCTGGTGCATGCTATTAATCTAAGCACTCTTGAGTTCAAAGCCAGCCCTAGGATACACACTGAGTTCCAAATTGTCTATGAGCTGTGCTGCTCGCCAAACCTCCCAGTCTCAGATTCATGATCTTCCTTATGAGTCCTGGGATTATAAGTGTATACCAGTATTCCTATCATCTCTTTGGGTTTTTTATACATAAATTATGTCATCTGTATCTTCAGTCTGAATGACTTTTGTTTCATTCTTTTATTTTCCTTGGCTGAACTTATAGTGCACTGTTCAGTAGAAGTGGAAATAGACATCCTTATCTTGTTCTTGTTCTTAGAGGTAAGCTTCAGCCTATCACCATTAGATATGGTATTAGCCATGGGTCTTTTGTAGATGCTCCTGATCAGATTTCTCAGTTTTCAAAGTTTGAGTGTTTTTATTATGAAAGTGTGTTTTATTTTATCAAGTATCTTCTCTGTATACAATAAGATGATTGTGTGGGCTTTGTCTTTTAGTCTTCTAAGTGTTATTACATCCATTCATTTTGTGTACCTGGGATCTGTGTGTTTATATTAGAAGGGATATTGGTCTGTCTCGTTTGGGTATCAGTGTACTACTGGCTTTTTAGAATGAGTTGGAAGGTGCACTTGTGTTTTTGGAAGTTTGCAAAGAATTGGTATTAAATGGTAGAATTAACAAGTGATACCATTTGGATCTAAGATGTTCTTTGTGGGAACTTAAAAATCAATAATAAAATCCTTAGACCTCTTATAGGTCTCAGATTTTTTTTGTTTCTTTGTTCCTTAAGATTATATTGGGGGGCGGGAGAGGCTGGGAAGGTGGCTCAGTGGTAGAGCGCTTGCCTTGCATGCCTGAGGCCCTGGGTTCGATTCCTCAGCACCACATAAGCAAAAAGAAAAAAGCCGGAAGTGGCGCTGTGGCTCAAGTGGTAGAGCGCTAGCCTTGAGCTGAAGAGCTGAGGGACAGCGCCCAGGCCCAGAGTTCAGGCCCCACGACCGGACCAAAAAAAAAAAAAAGATTATATTGGGGGCTGGGAAGGTGGCTCAGTGGTAGAGCGCTTGCCTTGCATGCATGAGGCACCACATAAGCAGAAAAAAACAAAAAGCCAGAAGTGGCACTGTGGCTCAAGTGGTAGAGCATTAGCCTTGAGCTGAAGAGCTGAGGGACAGCGCCTAGGCCCAGAGTTTAGGCCCACTACTGGACTCCCTCCCCCCCCAAAAAAAGATTATATTGGATACTTGTCTTTTAGAAAATTATGTTTCACTTAAGTTATCTAAATTTTCAGTGTACAGTTTATAAAAATCCACTTAACCTTTTTATTTTTGTAAGATTTGTGATGATGGCTCCTCTTCTTTTTTTATTAAAAATTATTATTATTTTTGTTTATGTGATACTGAGGAATCAAACCCAGGGCCTCATGTATACTAGGCAAGCACTCTACCACTAAGCCACATTCCCAGCCCTCCTCTTTTATCTTAATTTTAGTAATTTTTTTCCTTGGTCTCACTAAAACTTTGCCAATTTTGTTTATCCTGTTGGCAATAAACTTGCTTCAACAGTAATCATTTATTTGCCTTTTAGGATTGATTTCTTCATCCCAGGAGTATCGGTGGTTGGTGGGTTTTCAATATGCTCTAGTCCCAGACTGCTAGAACAAGAGAGAATGATAGAATTGGCAGTGAAATATGCAAACCACCCTCCTGCTCTCTGGATTCACAATAAGGTAAGCAATTGCCATTTCAAATTCAGAGATTTGGTTCTCTCTGCCTCCCACAAGATTTGTGTCCAGTTTATTCCATCTGTCTAAAAATACCTGGTATTGGGTATTTCGAGTATTTACTTAACACTGAGGAGGTATAGAACCACCTGGGCTGGGATGTAGCTCAGTGGCAAAACACTTGCCTAGTAAGTGCAGCTTCCTTGGAAAAAAGAACAGCAACTTGTTTTGTCTTGTTCTATTTTATACTTAAGTATACTTAGTGGTATAATGTGTGGGTTTGAACCCAGGGCCTCTTGCTTACTAGGAAAGTGCTCTGTTTCCTGAACCATACCTGCAGCCCTGCAGAGTCTTTTTAATGGATAAAGTACGATTCAAAAAGACTGAAATTTAGAATTTTTTTTTACTTACTCTTCAGTAGAATACTTTTGATTATTGAATATATTTTGCACTTTATGAAAGTTTTTGAAAAATGACTTTCATGTAGATGGTAAATAAATCATGTTATTTTACTTTAAATTATCCCAAATAAGGGAAATGAAATTGTGACCAGTATTTGGAGGGGAAACTATCTCTAGTTATGTAATACTGTTTATGCCCAGAGGTGAGACAGCTCCATCCATGTTCTGTGTACCTCAGACTCTAGAGGAGATCTAGGTCCTCTTAGGTTTTGCTATACAGGGCCCAACACAAACCTTATATAAGCCACCTCTTGGAGCTACTCAACTCAAAGCAAACTTGTTGTCTGAGTTTTAATGGTGTTCCTTTTCACTGCCATAGCCTTCTTTATTGCAGTGTGTCTTCTGTATGCAGCTCTCTTCATTACTACAGTGTGTCTTCTGTATGCAACTCTCTTCATTACTGCAGTGTGTCTTCTGTATGCAGCTCTCTTCATTACTACAGTGTGTCTTCTGTATACAGTTCTCATCACATTCAAGGGATTTGTTTTCTTATCTCCTTTTTGATAAATGTGCCAGTGCAAATGTGACTTCAGGAACTAGCATTGTCTCCTTGTTTTCCTGCTAATAATCATGGAGAGTCAACAAAAGGGAACAGAAAACAAAAACTAGCCATCAGCAGAGTTAGAAATATACCTAACTACATTTTTTTTTTTAATTGCAGACATTGCTGTGGGTAAATGGAGGGAGGGACTAATAGTAGCCTATCTCCTAGAGCACCAAATGTATTCCCATGAGGGCTGTGGGGTATGGAGTCCTTGTCTACAAGAAACCAGAAACACAATCAAGATCAGGGGCTGTAGAAGTCCCATTTAGATGCAGTTTAGTTGTCAGGAGAGGGGGCCCATAAAGAAGCACACTGATAAGCCTTGTTCAGAGGAGGTACTGTGCCTTGATAGTAGCTGAGCAGCTGTTAGTCTATGAAAACTAGCTGGCTTAGGACCTTGCTGGGCCTAGCCTTTAATTAGGGCCATCTTAAATATGTTTAGTCCCTTCAAAAAAAAAAAAGTCACCAGAGTTTAGGGCCAACCTAGGCTATATACATAGCAAGACTCTGTCTTAAGAATCCAAACTACAACAGTGATGAAGAATCATATTACTCATACTTAAGATTGAAGTAATAGTGCTCAGAATAGTGTATGAAGTGTAGAAGAATGAACGCAGACATATGAAATAGAGAGTTCAGAAATGCACTGACACCCATACTTATGTCCTAAAGGTGCTAAGGAAGGATAAGAAAGGATAGACTGTTTAACCAGTAGCACTGGAACATTTGTACATCCATGAAAAAGCAACCAAAACAACTCTAACCGAACATTCAAAATTAAAGTGGGTTAAACATATAAGTTGTAAAACTATGAAAATTCTAGAAGAAAATACAGAAAATACTGTAACTTGAGAGTAGGTAGAATTCTTAGACATCACACCAAAAGCAAGATCCATAAAAGAAAAAAAGTGACACGTAAGACTTAATCACCATGAAAGGCCATTCTACAAAAGGCTAATAATAGAAGTAAAAAAAAAAACAGCCTATAACTGGGGAGAAAATATTTGTGAGATACCTAGCCAAGAAATTGTATTATAATCTGTAAAGAACTGTCAAAATTTTGTCAAGAAAAAGAAAATATAATTTTAAAAAATAGACAAAGGATGTAAAAATGACATGTAACTAATGAAAAGATGTTTATGATTACTAGGCTTAGGAAACTATACATTTAAACCATTTGTAGTAAACCAGGCATAGTAGCACAGTGCTGTAATACCAGCACTTGTGAGGCTGAGATGAGAGGATCATGAGTTTAGGCCCAATCTGGGTTATATAGCAAGCAAGACCCTATCTCAAAACAAAAAGCCACATATGTAATGTTATCCTAGTACATTAAAATGACTAAAATTGAAAAGAATGATAATCCCAGGTGAAAACTAAAAGTAATGACAATACCAAGTATGAGGGAGGATGGATATATTGCTAGCAGGAATGCAAAGCCATAGTGGATCTGGCAAACATTTGACTGCTATGAAATTAAACATACATTACCATATGACCCAGCAATACCACTCTTGAGTGTTTATCCTACAGACATGAAAGCTGTGTTCATAGAAATCCTAGTAGGAGCAATGGCAGTTCTGTTCATACGTAATACACGCTAGAAACAAATGCAGGTGAATGGATAGTTATACATTCATACAGTGCACTCAGCAATAAAAAGGGATGAGCTATTAATGCATACAACTTGAGTTTTAAAGGCACTGTGTTGAGTGAGAGAAGCCAGTCCCTAAAGTCTGTAATATATATATATAAAAGTATATTATATATATATATATATTCCATTTATCTCACATTCTGAAGGACAGAAGTAATGATTGGAAGCAGATCCATGCTTGACAGGGTGGGGGAGATAGTCCCATATACTGGTGTGTGTGTTAAAATTCATAGAACTGTACACCAGAAGAAAAGTTATTTTAAAGTCTACAGGAGCAGAAAAATACTCCCTTTGGGGTTTGTTCTTGTGCATGTCAACTTCGTGTGTGCTCAGGATAACCTCAGGAGCTTGTTGGGCTTGGAGTTTCCATTGTGAATGCTTCCTGTCTCATGCTTATCCTTCCATCCTTGATCTCCTTTGCTATGGCCTCACCTGCCTCATTCCTATCTAAATTCTCTGTAGAGGTTCAACTGGTGCTGTTGCTAAGCTGCTCTCTCAAGCTAAAATGGGCTGCTGGGGTGTAGCCAACAAGATGTTCACGTGCCCCTCATTGGTTTAAAGTGAGCATAGCCATCCTGGTTTCCTAATGCCAAGAACTTCCTCCTCCCTTCAATTGTCCTCAGCCTCCCACATGACCTGGTCCTGGTCCACCGCTCCCTGCTTGGTTTCATGCCTCATTGGCATTTCAATGAAGGAACGTATTCTTAGAAGCTGTGGAAATCTCCAAGTGGCACTGCCTGAGTGCACATCCTAATTGTGGTGCCCGCTCTTGTCTGCCCAGTGGGAGTTGCAAACAGCCTTTATGAAGTCGGGTTTTTCTTGGAACCATTTTTAGGTGGCTATTTTTCTCCTGAGGATTTGCCTTATTGAGCTATTAGAGTGGACAATGGAGGCACGTGAGTGTCTGGATGGCAGCAGGCTGCTCTGTTGGGACATGGGATAAAGTGCCATAAACGTCTTCCTTTATTTTATCGGCTTTGGCTCAAGCTCTTGGCAGGGTAAGGGGTTCTAGACAGCTATTGCGTGTTTAGCTCCAGTTGCTGTGGAAAGGTGGTTTATTTCACAAGTAGAAAATCTATACTCAAATTTAATACAGTGCTATGTGATTGAAGGTAATGTCCTTTTACTTATTTACTGTACCGTGCAGTGCTTTGCTTCTTGTGTTCCTGCTGCCCTGGTAAATTTTATTGATCAACAAAGACAAAGGTAGCTTTTGATTCTTTCCAGATCCTAGCAAATTAGAAGATAGATCTACTGCAGATGGTTTTGTCACGAAGGAGAAATGGGTTTCTGGGGTATTATCTTTTCCTGGGCATACTCTCTTGTCAGCTTTAGGGTTGAATGTAATTGACTTTCTAAAAACAAACAGTAAGCTAATAGCTTTCTTTGTTGTCATTACTAAGCACACCAGAGGTGGCCACTGGAGAAAATTATTTCTTTTTCATTTCTCACTTTTTTTGGCTCTCAGGTTCTTAGGAATAAAGAATGACATTTGATGCATATAGGCAAGAAAGAGGGATAGTGAGGGGACACAGAAGATGAAATCATCATCATTAGGCAAAGTCTCTTGTATGTTGAATTCTATTTTCAGGACTTGAAAGGGAGGAACATTTTAAAGCTCTTTGGTAGCCAGTGTAGTCATTCCTAGATTCTAGCTATTTTAATCCAAATGCTCCCTTGCTGCTAATTTCTTTTGTCAAAATGAAAACCTACTTACTATCATTCATGTAACAATCTCCTACATATTTAAAACAGTTAAGCTCAGAGATTTTTTTCCCCAGAGAAAGGATTTCCATTCATTCAATGGTTTTTACTAAAAAGGACCTATTTTGTGAATTCAAGTAATTTTCGTTTTCCTTTAGATTTTTCTCTTAAGTTTAGCTCATTTTTAAATTGTGTTTTCTGTTCACCTGGCATGTGAAGTGCCGAAGCATGAATGCCAAGGGTTTCCTCCTGAAGGAGTGGGTGATACGTTATTATAATGTCTAAGGAGAGTGTTCATTTAGTTGATTTATGCCAGGAGTGTGTAAATGGTACAAACCTAGAGACATTTTCATATTCCTGAGTTCTGTTATTTAATATCAGGGAAGAAGGAAGCAGGCATACCCCATACATTTCTTCCTTTATGGCTACTGTCTCCTACAAAGCTTTATCCAGCAAGGAGCCCCCCCACATGGTGTGTCATTGTCATTTGATGCCCACAACAACTCTGAGGTGGGCAGAGTGGGTCTTGTTGCCCCTTTCCAGGTACAGCAGCAGATGTCCAGAGAAGTTACAAGACTAGATTTTCTTGGGATTGTAATTAAAATTCATTCGTTGACTCCTGGGTCAGTGTGTTTTTCTCCAAAGTCCAATTCCCCCTTGTCCTGAAGTGAAATTTACAGTTAAGGAAATAAACACATAAATTAATAAAATAGTTCTCTAATTGTAGTACAAAAGGAGGAAAGTGACCCATACATAACCAAAGAATATTTCAACATATAAATGCTTGGTTGTATTTAAACTAGAGGGTAGAGTGGAATAATCAAATGGTGTTCCTAAACATAGACTCACCATGAGTGCACTTCCAAATGTAGATAAGATAGGTGTGTTGTATTGGTAAGGAAACACATATCAGCTGGGATATGGTTTTCAAGGAAAGTGAACATACTTGATAAAGTTATAAACACAACTGAATACACTCTGTGCAGTGGTTGCATTTTGGAAAAGTCACCCAAACTAAATCTATATAAAAAAAGGCTTTGAGTTCATTTGTAAAATGAGATAATGAGATGGTTAATCTTGTCAACTTGATAAGATTGTGAAGTGCTTGGGAGATTAGTATAGCACACCTCTGAGTATGTCTGAGTGTGTATATAGAGGACTAGTGTATAGAGAAGATCCACTCCTTGAATATACACTGCACCATCCCATGGGGTGGGGCCCAGAGGGACTTAAAGGAGAAAAAGACAGCCAGCTAGTGCAGGCTTTCTGTCTGTCCATCTGTCTATGTGCCCTACCCTTTCTTCTTCCTTCCCCCACTATACTAGCTGATGCTTTTCTTCATCTCAGAGATCATGGAAATGGCCAGCTCTGGACTGAAACCTCTGAAACTGGGATTCAAATCTGTGCTTCTTTTAACTTGTCTCAGGTATTTGTCACAGTGATGAGGTGCCTGATACAGTTTGGCTTTAGTCTTAAATCGTTACAAGCCATCTTTCACCTATATGAATGGTCTGTGGACCTTTCAGGAGTTGTCGTCATGAATGGTCCTGTATGTTGTGGGTAATGGTGTGTTGGGAAACCAGCTTCTTGAACTCTAAGTCCTTACTGCATCATTGACTGACTTCTGTGCTAGAAATACTCCCATTGGAGCTGATTTCAAACAGCAGTACTGGCTCAAAATTCCTGAAGATTTAGCCTTCAACTTAGTAGGAGCAAACTGCAGGACACCACTAATTTTGTAGGATGTCTAGCACATGTCCTAGACAGTCCCCAAAAGGCCGAATGGAATCCCCAAATCCGTGACAACAAAAAATATCTCCATGCATTTCTAAAACCTCCAACAGAGGCAGTATTGCCCAGTGAGAACCAGTGTATGAACTCTGGTGGTATTTGGGTGTAAGTGACCTCATCAAATAGTAGGTGCTGGGTAGGTGTGAGACTGCCCTGTGAAGCTCCTGGTGCTTATCTGGCTGTACCAGGAGTCTTCATACTGAGTCCTCATGAACCCAGAGCAGTCCATGCATAATGCTGTCCCTGTCCTGCCTCCTCAGCCTTGATCAGAACACAAGAGCCTACTCAGATGAAGAGGACCTGCCCTCTGGGGCTGCTTCCTGCCTGACCATTGCTACTTTTGTCAGCTCAGTTTATCACCTGAGAAGTTAACAAACAACAAAAATCACTGAAGCAAGTCTCTCTTTTTTTTTCTTCCGGTTCTGGAGCAGTTACACAAAGGTGGGGTAGCAAATGTTGAGAGCTAGTTAGAAAAATAGTGCTGGATTCTAATGAAATTGCAGAAAGTAGATTAGTTGGTTTTATTAAGATAGACCATTTGGTTTAAAGACTGTGCTTCAAAGGACTAACAAAAACCTTTTCTTTCCTGCCTTAGTGTACACTTGACTCTGAAGTGGAGGTGAGAGTGGGTGGAGATTTCTTTTTTGACCCTCAACCAGAAGATGCCCCTAGAAACCTCGTGTTGATTGCAGGAGGGGTTGGAATTAACCCTTTGCTTTCCATCCTGAGGCACGCAGCAGACCTCCATCGAGAATGGGCAAAAAAAGGATGTGGCTATGAGATAGGAACAGTCAAACTGTTCTACAGTGCAAAAAATACCAGCGAACTTCTTTTTAAGGTAAGAAGGAACCAGGTGAAAGGTCGCTCACATGCATAATCGAGTTGGAGGCTGAGAATAGGAGGATTCGAGTTTGACATTAGACAGCATGCAAAACTCCATTCAACCCATAGCTGGGCATGGTGACATAGATTTGTTGTCCTAAGCTATGTGAGGAAGCTAAGACTGGGAAGATTGGAGTTCTAAGCCAACCTAGGCAGAATAGTCTGAGTCTTAGTATCTCAATGGAAAAGTTGGGCAAGGGGGTACATATCTCCCATCCCCATGGGAAGTCTAACGTGGGCAGATCATGGACTAGGCACAGGAATTGAGGTCTTATCTCAGAAGTAACTAGCAAATATAAGGCTGAAGTGTGGCTTAGCATTAGAGAGACTACTTAGAAAGCACAAAGCTGAGGCTGGGAAGCTGGCTTGATGGTAGAGTGCTTGCCTTGCATGTATGAGGCTCTGGATTCTATTCCTTAGCACCACATAAGCAGAAAAAGCCACGCTGTGGCTCAAGTGGTAGATTGCTACAAGCACCCAGGCCCAGAGTTTAGGCCCCACGACTAACAAGAAAGAAAGAAAGAAAGATAGAAAGAAAGAAAAGCACAAAGGTTAGATTTCAAAGCCTAGTACCACCATCACAAAACAAAGAAAGAAAGGGGGTAGTATATGTTTTTCAGTTTGCTATAAGTAGACTTGTTTAATGGTATTGCCCACAAGTCTTTTTTCTGTTGGGTCTGATTTCTTTGCAAAGCTTGGTAGGATTTATGTTCAAATGAGAATTGAACATCATGTCTCATCCAGGACAGTCACAACTAGTAATGTTGAGGGCTCCCAGGTAAGTGGCAGGATAGGGTGTGTACTGATGGGATGGGATCTGTGCTTAGTGGAATGAGTGAATAGAAATGACACCAAAACCCCAGGTTCGAGGGAGAGAGAGTTGTGAGACTAGTTAGAGGGCTTGAGTGTCCCACACAGGTGAGACCTGGATAATCGACCCAGCTGGTTAAGGAGAGCCCTTATGGATTGCATCTGTTGAAACTAAAAGCACATCCAGTGGAGAAGGCTTTCACTCAGGACTGCCTTGCAGCTGCATGAATGAACAAAGGAACAGAAACAGTTAAAAGACAACTGTGGTCAGTGAAACTGCTGTTAATTTGCCAATGCTTAAGAAAAAGGAAAAGAAAACACTCCCTGAGAGTTAGTAATGTGCTTGTTAGCATATTCAGATTCCAGCTAAAGCCAGATAGCCTCTGTGCTCTGAATCTCTGGCCTGCCAGGCTGCAAACCCCATCTCCTGAAGTAGAGAAAACAGCAGCAGACGTGTGCAGAATGGGAGTTGAGCTTCGGCGTCAATGGTTTTGCACATCTGTTTTGATTTTCTAAAATTGTAGTGTGACCAACTATGTTTGACATTCCAGAAAAATATCCTTGATTTAGTAAATGAATTTCCTGAGAAGATTGCGTGCAGTTTGCATGTTACAAAACAGACTACACAAATCGGTGCGGACCTTAAGCCATACATCACGGGTGAGTCCCCAAAGATGTTTTGACTATCTTTGCACTTACATATGATGGGCACACCAGTTACTTTAGTGTTAGAAGTCGCCAGGGAACAGCCAAGGGAATTGAGAGATGATTCATCATGAAACAATGAAGAACTATATTAGTTGGATTTACTTATTATATGCAGATTTCCTCCTGCCATATTGAAAGAATGTTCTTTCTATTTAGTAGGCCTTTACATCATCACCATAGTGTGCATCCAAAAAATTATACTCAGCCCTGGCTGCATGGGTTCCATTTGCCATTAATGGTCATTCAGCTTACTCATGGTTTCCTGTTTGGAAGGACTTTTGTAAAACAGTTTATTTACTTTGGTGTGTAGTTTTGCATCTCAACTGAAGACGAGTAAGGAAGCTGGTCCTCTCTAAAGACTGCTGTTTGCTTGTGATAGGTTTAGGAAGCCTGGAGAGTCACTGAGCTTAAATTACTACAAATAAACACTGCTTATTTCTTCTGTCCTTGTATTTCAAGATACAAACATGTCTGCCTTATTGGGGTTTATTCTATTTTTTGGTAGAAGGAAGAATAACAGAGAAGGAGATAAGAGATCATATTTCAGAAGAGACTTTGTTCTATATTTGTGGCCCACCTCCAATGACAGACTTTTTCTCCAAGCAACTAGAAAACAACCATGTTCCCAAAGAACACATTTGCTTTGAGAAGTGGTGGTAGCAGCAGGCCAAGCAACAAAACGGGAAGACTGACAGCCATTTGGGAGAGTAAGAGATACTATTTAATAGCATCTACCTCTACTTGAGCTGTCTTTAGGACTGAAGTGACTACTGGTGAATAAAAGAAAAGCTACCTAGCACCACACTTAAATGTAAACTTTTGGGGAAGAATTTATTGATCGAACTATTTTTTTTACCATATTGATTTTCTTCTAATTTCCTGTTTAATTATCTCAGGATACACTCTGAGTTGGGTATTACAGTGTTTTTTTTTTCCTTTTGCCCTTAGAGGAAAATGAAATGTGTATATTTAATCATGGGAAATAATAAGTTTTTGTGGGAAGTGTTTAAATTATTTGGCAGCCGTTTATATACCTTATGTTCATTGAACTTATCATTTAAATATATTCTTTATTTTTAAAATTCATATTTAATGTCTCAGTGTACTTTTATCATGGTCTGAAACTGCTTTAAGGGGCAGAATATCCAGTGTGCTGCTTCCTGGTAATAAATAGCCTAAATGTGCATGGTAATTGTTAGCCGCTCCTGTGTCCTGGCTGCCTGCCCCACTGTGGGAGGCAGCTTCCTGTTAGAGACAAAGGTGTTGGTGACTGTTATGTTCCCTGTTGTCTGTCTTGGTAGGTGGGCTGGTGACCGTGGAAACCTGCTAAGAATTGATTCGGGGGTAAGAGCCATTTCCCAGTTCTGCATCTTTGCTTTTTAGTTCCTTCCTTTTCCAGGGTTGTTCCTGGTATCTGCAAGTATGTAACAAATCACTGAATGAAGAAAGCATTTTAAGTCTTCACTGTCTAGGGAAAGGAGGCAATCCCCAGGTAGGACAGAAAGAATGGTGACATTTGATCTCAAGGCTGCTCTGATGAAAACTGCTAAAAAGCAGACTCAAGCTCTTGTTTATCTTTGTTTAGGTTTTTAAAAATCCAAAAGAAATTCATGAACTAACTGAGGTCAAGCAAGTGCTGGGTCTTATATCAACCTGGAGAACATTGGAATGTGAATGGAGCCTGGAAAGGACAGACCAGTGCTAGAGACCTAGGAGACCAGGTTGACATGATTCTTGAGCTGAAGCAAGAAGATGGGTTACTCTTTATATCTGTTGTTCCTCTTTATGTCTGTGGGCCTCCCAGGAGCTCTGGGCTTAAACTGAGTGAGTTCAGGGCATCTGCAGACAGCTGGCATTGCCACTATGGCCTCTGCCCTGTTTTGTGTCTTGGCAAGTTTAAGCAGAAAGTGTTGGTCAGCTCTTGTCATGTACCACTTGCTATTCCCTGACTGGAATATCTTCTGAGATGCACACTATTAAGTAGTTTTGTCATTGTGCGGATATCATGGAGCATACTTCACAAACCTGGAAAGCCAGGCAGTCATTATCTTTTGAGACTGATGTTAAGTATGCAGTCCATCATTGACCAAAACATCATTGTGCAGCACATGGCTATTAGATTCCAGATGTGAATTCAGTGGGAGGGAGAGAAGGGGACAGCTGGCCTGATGGGAAGTCCATTCTGGCAAGTGACTAACTGAATTTCAGAAGTGAGGGGACTGGAAGAAGTTCTGGGCCACAGATAAATACATTAACCCCCAAGTGCCCTGGCTGAGGGAGGCTTTAGAGCTGAGTTCTCAAGGTGTAGAAGCACACAATGAGATTCAGGGGTGGGGTAAGCAAGGGGCTCTTCTGACAACTAGTGAAGGCAGCTGGCAGGGAGCCTGTTGGGAGTGGAGGTGCAGGGTGGCCTCACAGCAGTGGGGGAATAGAGGGATACTGCCTCCGTCTGACCAGCACCATGCTGTGTGCCTGATGCTGTCAGAGAGCAAGGGTCACCACACCAGCCTGGGATTCCCAGCTCTACCTGCCACCCTGTGCTGACTCCCTGTCACCAAGTGTGAGCTGCTGGGGTGGGCCAGGTCACAAACGCTGCTTGCCTGTGGTGTTCTTTCAGCTCTGTCATTTGGCACTAAGAACTGAATAGCATTTTCTGGTCTGCTGGCCAAGAATGGCCTGTTGCCCTTGGCTGCCAGTCCTGTCCACATCTCTTTGGTACTCAAGCTGAGTGACCCTCAGTCAGTGGGGCTTGGAATTTATTACATAGTGGCTCGAGACTGGAGAGAGCCTTTGAGCCAGACTACTGAGTTCAGATCCCAGCTGTATCACCTACAAGGTCAGTGATGCCAAACAAATCCCTGGACTATTCTATGCCCCATTGGAAATCACACATTTGGAACCACACATGGAAGGGTGGTAATACCACCACCTTCCTCGAAGGGCTCCCGGGATCAAATGGGATCCCATGTGTGGAGAATGCTAGCAGAGCATCCATGGGCACCATTCATTTGCTCCTCCTCATCCTGTTCAGAGAGGATGCTAGATTTACTCTGCTAAAGACCCCTCATATCAGGAGAGGCCTGTCTTGTTTAGCACTGTGCTCTGCACATGGTAGGTCCTTCATGAAGTTTGATATGAAAAAGCCTGCCCAGAGCAGATGAGCCAGGTTAAGGAACTCGCTAAGAACCCTTTGGCACTGTGAGTTTATGGAAATATTCCTTGTGACAGCAGACATGAGTGTCTCAGAGTGAAGACACAGGGCAGGGCTTACTAGAAAGACCAAGCATGTACTTGGTCTTCCCCAAGTAGCTTACCATTAGGTGTTTTCTCCTAGGCAGGATGGGTGTGGAGCCCTCCACATAAGGATGGTCCCTGGGACGCTGGGTCTAAGTCAGTAGATCTCACTTTAAAAACAAAACAAAACCTCATGGAAAAATTCCAGAGTGTGTCCTCCTCCCCTACTTCCCCTCAGCTGCAGTGATGTAGCATTCTGCTGTTTCTGTAAGTTCTTCAACTGGCATCAGGATTCGTTCTGCTGGGTCATCTGTAGGTGCAGTAACTGATGCCCTGTTGTGAGAGTCTACGTGTGACATGAGGTGATACGTCCTGAGTTTCTTGTATCAGTGTCACCCTCCTCCTCACCACATGCTTGCACTTTCCCCTTTGGTGTCTTTGTCCTGTAGGTTCCCATACTTTGAACCTAGCTTACTTATCCTCAAGACCACGGCCATTAAGATGATGCTGTATTTTATGTTAACTGGTAATTAACCTAGAAGTTACTTAGACATAGATTCAAGGTTATTTTAAAGGCTTTATTGTCAAATAGTGTATGTACTTTCATTTTTAAATGGCAGTACTGTGGTTTGAGGGCTTTATGCTTGCTAGGCTGGCACTCTGCCATTTGAGCCATGGCAACAGTCTTACTTTTTGCTGGTTAATTTTGGAGATGGAGTCTAGCAAACTTTTCTCCTGGGCTAGCCATGAACTACGATTCTTCAGATCTCAGCCTCCTAAGTAGCTAGAAGTATAGGTGTGAGCCACTGGCCAGCTTGTACTTCTTTTCGTATCATGTGAGACACACAGTCTCCCACTTTTAATGTTGTTAGGATGGATCCATGCCTGATCCTTTCCTCACAACCTCAAAAACCCTGAAACGGTAAGAAAAAGATGCAGGATCAATGTTTTTCTTTCTTTTTATTTGTCAATTACTGTAGTCTGAGTTTGTGCCTTACCACCCTCTAAAGATGACCAGTGGGATTTTTTAAGTGCCATATTTCTTTCGTCCATTGCAGTCAATTTCAAGTTATCTCAGTAGTGTCAGTGGTGCATACTAAGCAGTAGGGATTGTTGGGGTTTGGGAGCTCAAAAAAGCTACAAAACAGTGCCCTAATAAACAGGAGGAAGAGAATCCCCTAATGAAGACAGTGCTTGGAGGAGGAACAGACATTGACTAGGCTGCTGCTGCTTTGACAGGAGCGAGACATTGTGATCAGTGACTGTCAACAGGCCTTGCTGATCTTGTTAGCTGGATGGTGAGAGTGTAAACGTGGGTGGGTGTGAGCTTAGGAAGAACTGGCAGGAAAGAAAAGTTATAATGAGCATAGACGATAGTTTCAAGGAAGTTTTCTAGGACGGAAAGGAAAAAGGTAGACTAGTAGCTGGAAAAGGCAGTGTTCAAAATGCCATTTATTGCCTTTTGTTTTTGTTTTCAAAACTTTAATTTTGTACTTAAAGACGTGTAGAGATACAGAATTCTTCTCTTCCTGTCATCCAGCTAGCCAAAGTGTTAGCATAACCATGGTATATTTACCAAAATTAAGAAACAAACAGTACTGTCATATTGTTGTAGTACTATTAATTACTTATGTGGAAGAGATGGAGGCCTAGTTGTGGGAACACCTGTGACAGTCCTTTAGTGGAACTCCTGCGGTTTGACTGTGAAGTGTCCCTCACAGACGCAGGCCCCAGCTGTTGGGGAGGTGAGGCCCAAGTAGAGGATGCAGATATTTTGTCTCCACCACAGAAGTCTGCTAACATAGGAGGAGGGAACAGAGTTTTCTAGACCTTGTTGAATGATGAATTGTCAGTCATTGAACATCTCCTGTGTGTCACTGTCACCAAGGTAGACACTGGACAGGAAAGTGCAATACATACAGTATTAAATGTTCTATGAGGAAGTGTGTTGTAGACCAGGCATGATGGCTCAGCTACTTGGGAGGCTGGCTGGCCATCTGAGCCCAGACATTCAAAACCAGTCTTGACAACATGGTGAGAACGGTTGCAAAACAACGAGAGAATTCCCTACTGAGAACATTTCCATGGGACCGAAAGTAGAGGTGCGCTGGGGAAAGATTAGTTTTGTAGCTACTTCTGGTTGTAGGTCAGCCCTGGACAAGTTGCTGAAGTGATGGTAGCCTGTGGGTACAGAGAAGGTGGGGCCATGGGAAAGGTTGCACCCTTGCTCTGCAGACAGTATTCCAGGAGGATGTGATGACTGGGTGCACAGCTGTAGGCGCACATGTTTGTAATGCATCTTTGCAAGTCCAAATACATGTGTGCATGTCATGACTGTCAAGCCAAGGTCATGCATTTCTGAGATTTTTTTTTTTCTTTCTGAATAGAAAACAGCAATTTCCTTCATTCCTAGGTATTAGAGATCATCATGTGCTGATAATTTAACCTAAAGGCCATTTTTATTTTAAATCAAACTCAAGGTAGTATGTGCTATTGTCAGAGAGAATAGAGAGATGTCTTTAATATTACTCTTTCCTGATATGCGCACAAGCTGTCAGCATGGTGATGACATATAAGATATCTCCTAACCCATCCTCAAATAAGGCATGCATTTTAAAATGTTTTTGCTCTGAATTCCTCACTTTCTTAGTTGTTGGCCAGCCACATTGATCTGTCTGCTCTGATTTCTTCAACTGTGCAGAAGCCCATCACCCTAACCTCATCCCTTTGAACCTCTCCTGGTGGGCCTCTTTTACTGCACCTTGGGCATATGAAAATGTACACCCTAAAATGCCCAAGTCCCTTCTCCCCACTGCATCCCATGCCTGGAATTTCCAGGAACCTCAGTAAAG